CAGTAAGCATAGGAACTGAGAAGTGGTCTGTGGTCACCACCGGCAGAACCACTCCTTTATTGGGGATGTCTTGTTAACTGCCTATGCTTTCCACCTGTTGTCTATTCCATTTGTACAACAGCATGTGAAATTGATTGTCAATCAGTGTTGCTACCTAAGTGGACAGTTTGATTTCACAGAAGTGTGATTGACTTGGAGTTATATTGTGTTGTTTAAGTGTTCCCTTTATTTTTTTAAGCAGTGTATTTTGGGCTTAGATTGCAAAGTGCCTCTTGTCCCTGTTAGATTTCTTGGTGGTGTTCGGTGCCATTGACTATGGAGCATTCTGAACTCCTCACAATAGTTCATTCCCACCTACATGAATGGTTCCAGGTAGGTTCATGGAGGAGCAGTGATTGAACCCCTGTCTTCTTCTAGGCACGATCATTTTCTTTATGTTATTCAACATTTATATTCAACATCTGAGGAAATCCACTGGTTTAGGAAGAGGTTTCATCAACACATAGACAATACCGAGCTATAAATGATCACCTTGACTTGGGAACAGAAGACTGTAAAGATCTGAATGGGGCAAATCAAAGTCAGATTAAATCCTTCCAAGATGGAGTAGTTATTTGTTAATGAACATCTCAGCAGTCTAACAGCAATATTCTAGTAGTTACTCTTGATGGAGTCATAGCCCCCCCACATTGGAAAATGTTAGTTTATGATTTGCGATTTCTCATCATGTGTGCCATTTTGAGAAATTGAATAAATGTAAATCTAGACTGTGTCCAAAAACACTTGTAGCTTTCAGCTTTTCAGAAATATTTTATACACAGGAAATTATAAGTAAACATAAACAGGTAACTTGTCATAATACTCTAAATTTTTCTCAAAGGAAATCTAAAATAAACTCAAGGGAAAAGTTGATAAAAGGCTATGTTTGCCAATCATATTCCTATGTACAGTTATTAAAAAGATTTGAAGTGGATAAAACATTTTAAGGTTTTGACAATGTTTTAACAGAAATGTGTAAATACTGAAGAACATTATTGCAACAATGTATAAACTTTTCTGGAAAGTTGAACAGAAGAGCAAGCGAGAGTACATGACAAAACGGGCTAAATAATTTTGGTTATAATATACAAATGGCTCAAATATGTAGTTGAAAGGAATGAAATTTACATTATGTTCAAAAGAATTTTTTAATAAAATGATGTACTGTTAATATTTGTCACCAGAAAAATTATCTGGCATGTGTCAAGTATCTTAAATTTATGTTGGAAATGTGAACATTATTGTGTCTGGTGGATGTGTAAAAACAAAAACAAAAAATGTGGACATAAATGCACACACTAATTCAGAAGATTTTAAAGACTAATATACAATTGAAACCAGAGGCTTTTATTTTGGATCTGGACAGAGTTAGAAAAAAGACATGGAACTTTGTTTTTATATATTACAACTGCAGCCAGATTATTATATGCTCAATGGTAGAAAAGCTCAACATTATCTACAACAGAAAAATGGTTGATGAAGATGATGGAACTTGCAGAGATGTGTAAATTAACTTCCTTTTGATAAAGATAAAGACATTTGCAGTTATGGCTGACTGGAAACGCCTTACAGACTTGTTACATGAAACAGAAAAAAGGCACTTGGGACATATGGTTTTGATGATTAGGGAAAAAAATATGTGAAAACATGAACTTTTTGAGAACTATGGAGTAAGAGATAACTTTGTAATTATATTTGTATTTCCAAATCTGCTTCTATTTCTTTTGTCAGTGTTCCAAATAATACATCCATAGCAAACAGAACTCCGAGGCAAGCAAGTTCCTCAAAGAATAGTTTTATTGGACATATCATATTGGCACAGGCTGGTGAAAACCGACTCTGAATATTCCCGTGGTTTTCACCTAATTAAAATTAAAAGGTTCTCCCCTTTCCCAATCAATCAATCACATGGTCCAATCAAGGTGCCATCCGGTTGTCTGGTAACTTCATTCCTCATCTCTCCAGCCACCTGTGGGAATGTCCTTGGTTCCTAGGAGAAAGTATTTTGTTTTGACTACACACCCCAACTATCTCTATTCCCCCATCCCTATCCCTCAGCTTCAGTGTGGCAACGCTGAAGCCTCAAAATTGCCTCAGTCAGGTCAGCTTGAGGGTTGATAAGTTTAACTTTTCTTTTTCTACTTTTGTCTATGTTTCTTATTTAGTAATAGGTTTTGTTAGTTTTATCTTTAAAACATTTAATAAAATTTATATATTAAAAAATCCTCCTTAACCCTTGGCTTTTTTTGGAACCACAGGTGGAAGTAATAGTAGGAGTGGGGTGGAATGGGTGGGTGCAAGATCCTATCTTGACCAGTATGCCAAAATGACATTACTCATGCCCCAATCATCATCTATTAGACTACCATAACATGTTCCATGCACAGCAGCCTTTGGAGATGATCCAGAAGCTGAGACTGGTACAAAGCAAGATGTCAACATTATTTTGCTATCAGTATATAATAGCACAGGTATTAAAGTTCCTACACAAGTTACCAGCCTATGTAAATTATAGAACTGTGTTGGTTGTTGTGACCATATAGAGGAAACAAATGTAAAATCAATATAATTGAAATGTATACTACATTGAGATTAAGGTATAGTTTAAGAGGAATTTCAATGTTAATGTGTATTTTAAGAGGGGTTTCAGTGTTAACTCCTGATGGATATTTTACATATTAATGAGGAAAGCAATATTTAACTCCTTGTCAGAGAGATCTTTGCCTGGTCTCTCCCATTGCTTTCAGAAATTATCAATGCCTTTCAAAAGAATGTCATGATACGATGTATAAATACAATTTATATAATTGTACTATATAAATAAATTATATTTATTTCATGCAGCAAATCATGCACAAATCATATGAAAAGATAAATAAAGCAAGCTCCATCATGAGCAACTCTGGAATAAATTAAGGGATTAAATTTAATTTTCACAGATGAATACAAATATTACTTTGGCAAGGAAAACAGGCACTTGTGATTTACATGGCACAAACTAAACAAGTTTATTTGAAAAAGACACAGAAGCCAATAGTATGGTCATATATAAATTATCTGCTAGATTATTTCTGGGTGTAGTATGCTGTTGTACAAAGCCAGGTTAAAAAAAGCATGATTAATGTAAAGGGCGTCAACTACAATTTTTAGCAAGCTATCTTATAGATCTACTCCTTTCAACTTCCTCATAAATGGAAAATTACTTTAAAATCAACAGTATTCTGGCCTCTGGATTTATGAGTTTATAAAGATTTATGAGTGACTATAAAAGAAAATTGCTTTCTTATCCAGCTTTTTTTTCATACAGACACAGGAGCAGAGCAGAGATGAAAAATGGGCAGAGGGGCTGCTGTGTGACATGCTATTCCTGGTGACCACGATGCCCATCAGGCTACCACAGAAGAGCATTCATTGGTTTTGCAATTGGTTTATTATTATTTTTTAAAAAGCAAGGAAACGTCAGTCCGCCAGCCATTGCAAAAGCAGCCAGGGTACCAGCCAAGACAGCTGCTTCCAAGCAAATCAAAACTATCCTTAGTTTGCTGGGTCATTTGGCATCAGGTCATTGGATACACTTACTCATGGACTGAGTCAGATACAGTTGAGCATGTACTCTTTGCACTTTTTGCATTCACTCTGAAGTGTAGTTAGTATGATTCTGAAACAGTATCTTTCATATACCCAGCTCTTAGCTTATACTACTCCGAGTTGTGTTCTATAAAAGGTTATACAATGAGTTGTTGCCTTCTAAGTTGTCCTAGACTAGTGTCTGTGGAGATTCTCAGTCCTCCGGGTCATGCTTGTCCCAAAGGTGCTTTTTCAAGAGGCAACTGGGCTTTCTGGATTTTTCTTTGAAGATATTTCTCTTCTCATCCAAGAAGCTACAGAGATGAAGAAGCTTCTTGGATGAGAAGCAAAACGTCTTCAAAGAGAAACAAGATAGCCCAGTTGCCTTGTGAAAATGCACCTTTGGGATGTCCCACCTAGAGTCCTAGACTAGTGTTTTTCAACCTCGGCAACTTTAAGATGTGTGGACTTCAATTCCCACAATTCTCCGGTTAGCATGAGAATTCTGGGAGTTGAAGTCCACACATCTTAAAGTTGTCAAAGTTAAAAAAAAATACTATCTGTTGAGGTTTTTTTTTTTTTTTTGTGAGACTAACAAAGCTACCCTCCAAAATGTTTACAGGCGACAAGCACTGAGTAATACTGGCAAGCAATGTCTGCATGACAGATATACCCATGGTCGACAACAATCATAGTTTATTTTATTTAATTAATCCTGGGTTCCCAAGACACTGGGCTACAAACGAAAACTCTTTTTCCAAACAATTGCTTCATGGCTCAATGTGCCGCACGAACACAACCATTACATTCTCCTTTGGGGATTCCCAGGGCCCTGATCTTCGTCTCTGAAAACCAAAATCGCCGACCGGCTTCATTGTGCACGTCTATCGAAAGCAAGCTTTATCTTTGAGGTAACGAGCACAGGCAGGCAGATTTGGCCTGCCAGCTCATCCCAATTTCTCCTGCCTCCGTCCTCCGGTTGCCCTGATCAGTGCCTCGGTTTGCTATCCGCATTCACTGGAGGGCGAACGATCATCTCATTCCTCCACCCCACCCCCCGGCCCGCGCCCTCGATGCGTAACTAGCTCGCACCTTCCCCTGAATAAGAGCCAGTGCGCCGCCCCTAAAGCGGCCTCAAACCCGCAGTACCTGCCCAGCTTTGCGCAGATGCGTTCCCACAACAGCAGAAGCTGGTATTCGCCCGGCTCTAGTAGGCGGCGCTCCCACCTTCCCCACCACCCCGAGTCTTTGGCAGTCGCTGCCTTCCAGTGACAAGATGCCGCCCAGTGGCTCGCCCAATGAACGGCCGGAGCGGAGGGCTTCACTGGAAGGGCGTTGTCCCGCAAGCGGCCTCCTATTGGAGGCTGCCTTTTCCCCATAAGGCTCGGTCTCCCCCCACTTCCCTCCCTCCTCAGAAATAGAAACGACTCGGTCCAGTTTAGCGACAATCGAGAGAGGAACGCGCCGGCTCGAAGGGCGCCCTGGATTTCCCTGGCTCGCCGTCAGAACGCAAAGGGAGGCCGAGGCGCCAAAGAAAGGACGCGTTTCCCCATCGCAAAGAGCCTCTGGATTGCAATTCCTCCCTTCGGCCTTGGAGGAAGCCCAACCCCCCCCTCCTTTATTCCGCAAGGAAACTCGTTACGGTACTCGGAGCCACAAGGTGCATAAAATAAATTAAAAAACAAACAAACAAACCCGGAGCAAAGCGCATTTGAAAGGTTTGAAAAACACGCGTCGTCGGGCACAGCGATCATGGCGCTGGATTTCCTCGCAGGCTGCGTAGGAGGTAAGAAGCGGCGCCCCGAGCGATGGGGAGGATCGAGGTTGACATGGTTCAGGCCACGACGGCGAATGGGTTTGCGTAGATCCGGGACGGCGGATGGGTGGAGGGAGGGAGGGGGGGAGAGAGAGAGGGAGAGGCGGCTGCGGTAGGCAGGCAGGCGATGGCCACCTCTCTCCGCGGCTTGGCGCACTGCAGTGAAGATGCGCTGCCCACCCGCCCGAAGGAGCCCGGGAGGTGTTGCATTCATGCGCAGCCGCTTAGAAAGTGGGGGGGCGGGGAGGAGGAGGAAGAGACAATCTGGAGCCTCCACGCAAGCGGTGATTTTCTTAGCCCGTTTTTGTGCTCGATTGGTTCGGATCGGTACACCTGGGAGGTACGCCGCCGCTTCTCTGCTGACCCCATTGTCCCTTTCTGAGCTGGGTTGGCTTTCCTAGCTGCGCAATCGGCAAATGACTGCTAGGCTTTGGGTGGGTCGGCTACCTCTCCACCACAGCCTGGTGAGTGAGGCTGTTGTACTAAAACGGAAACCGGCTCTTCCTCTTCTATCGTCTTCTTGACCATTTAAAACTTTCCAGACAGGGAACTGATTTTTGGTTTAGGACTTGGCCCAAACCCAGAAGGGTCTGTTAGGAAGAAAATTCTGTTTAAGTGAAATGGAACGAAATCCTAGATATGTAGTCTTACAACTTAAAGTCGCACTGAAAACAAATACCTGGACTCCATTTGAGGACAGGGGGGAGAGAGAGAGACTTGTGATATTTTGAAGGCCAAAACAGCCCAGAACTCATTTCCCCCACCTCCCGATTGCTCTTTTTGCATGATTTCCTCCCCCACCCTCAATAGATGGGATACATATGCATTTCTTGGAAACTAAATAAATGCCCACTGGCGAAGAATAGACACAAATGAATTCTTACAGGGAAAATCTTGAATCTCTTGCTGTTGCTTCCATCAAAGCAGACTCAACCATACTTCTCTCTCCTGTGATTGTGGGACCATTCTTTTTAGAAATGGGAAGGCTTAATTTTCCTATTAAGAAGTGTTTGAAGGTCCTTTCAAACTATGCTTTTTATCTGTACTGTCTCCACACAGATTCAAAGTACGGTATCTCTCCAGTCCCTTTCATTGTGAAATCACATGAGAAGGAGCTTCTAGTAATCAGTTTATCTGAAGCTGGAGGGTAATGTTACTTTGAGCCCTGGTACATAGCAAATTGTAAATCTGCTTTTCCCAACAAGAGTCTCATTTTACAGATGGGTGTGTGTGTGTGTGTATGTGTAGAAAACTAAAAATCGGAGGGGGAGTGGAGTTTTTCAGTTTGTTTTTTCCTTTCTGACAACTTTCTGGTTTTAGTCATAGCCTCCCAGGAATTTTGGAATTTGTTCAACACATTCAGAAAATACTTGTGCGGGTAATTTAATTTCACTTCCTCATAGTTGTTTTTAATTAAGTCCCAGAACATAAAACAAAGTTGCTTTGTTGTTGTGATGATATAAATAACGTTTTCCAGCATACTCGCCCTTGTTTTCATTCCTAGCACAGGATATTTATTTATTTGCTTTATATGTCTTTCCTCCAAGAGTTGAAAGTGGCATACATAGTACACCTTTCTTTAATTTTCTTGCAAGCAATCTGTGAATAATAGGTTGGACCAGAAGAGACAAAGTCATTTTTGTGTCTTAAATTTGTACTTGAGACTTTTTGGTTGTAGCCTATGGCTGCATTATATTGATCCAGAGATGCTGATAATCTCTAGCCAATTTAGTTATTAACTTTTCTATGTCATTACATAGACAAGCATGCTGTTCTTCAGATATTCAGCTCCAGCATTTAAGCCATTTAAATGTAACTTAAAAATGGTTTGGCAAGGCTTTAACATATTTAATGCTGCAGGACACATTTGTGTTTTTAATGGAAGAACTTCAAATGCTAATTTGTTTTAGGATTTAACCTACTTTGGTCCCAAAGATAAATGTTTCAAAACAAAATGTGTAGTTTAGTACCCACAAGGCTTGTCCTCATTTCCTATAACAAATGCATACAAATGTATCAGTTTATTGTAATGTAAGCAGCCCAGATGTGTAGACCTTGCTTTCCTTTTAGCCTGTGTTGGAATTTTCACATGATGTGCAGGAGTCACAATTGCCTTGCCTCCTACAGAGCAGGCTGTCAAGATTTGGGTGGAAAAGATAAGCTCCTCTGAAGAAAAGATAGAAGCAAGATAAAAGGGTGAGGAATGTAGGAGGAGGTGTAATTTACATCTATTCTAGCAAAGAAAGAGAAAGGCGTGGGATTTCCCCCCCCCCCCTTTTTTTTTTCCAGATAAGGCATGTGGGAGGTTTTATTTGGCACAAAAAGGTTTTTCTTTAGCCCAGAGCATCAGAGTATTGATTTTGTAAAGATAAAAATAAAGGATTTGATTTTTAATGGGATATTTGTAATCTTTTGGAAAAGGATTTGTATTAGAGCTATGGTGATACTTCATGTTTTATTTTCTGTCATTTGAGAATACTACCATACAAGCCACTTCTATTATTTTTTCTCATCACACTAGTGATGAGTAAATTTACAGTTTTGCCTGTACAGAAATATTAACCTGCGTGCTGGTTTAACTGCTGTACAAATATAGCAGTCTTCTAGCTGATCAGGCAGAGAATTTATCTACAAAACCTACAAGTTTGCAAATTATGTAGTTTTACATATTGACAAAGTAGCTTCATTGATGGAGAATGGATCATATGTCCCTATCATAACTATTTCTACTAAACCCGGGCAGACCAGGATCAGATCTTGGAGACAAAGGCCTTTTGGCCCTCCTGAAAAGTTTCCAAGGTTGGAGCCATTAATTTTGCCATCCTGTCCTATTTCCTGATGCTGCTTCAGGCAGTTTCCTCCCCATTGAAACTAAATGATGATAATGTTGAATGAAATTGTTCCCCATCCCTTTCTTATAAATGGGTAGACAGTAAGCTGCCATTTCAGTCCCTTTCTCTTTAAAATAGCAGAAGTACCCTATAAGGGTGGAACTTTAAGCTTTCCCAGAGAGTAAATGTTTAGCTCTGTGGAGGAAGCCAATCATTTCCAACCCAAGCTTCTGTAATATGCAATGGGGATAAGTTTAAGATTGAGGAAACATTTGGTGTGTGTTTTTCAATATGCAGCTACTGGTTTTTTTTTAAATAGTTTTGGAATAAGTGTGTATTTTCCAGCAAGGCATGGAGTAAACAAACACTTCATTAGAGTAATATTGTTTTGACTGCATGATGGGTGCATATTGGAAGCATGGCCTTCTGTGCTTAGGGATAGTTCACCAGATTGACCATTCAGGCTAGCATTTCTTGGGGGTGGGGAATCAATTCTTTAGTGAAGAGCTTGAGGTGGCTTGATTTTTTTCCCCCTTCGTTTTGACTTTTAACCCCATTATATTATCAAGTTACCAATGATATGCTCTTAAATCATAAAACTTTAAACATGCCTGCCTTTAGCAAACTCAGGTATTCTAGTCTAGATGAACTAGATGTTATGTGATAAGTAGCTTCTAAAACAGGGGTGTCAAACTCACAGCCTGTGGGCAGGATGTGTTATGCACTAGCCACGACTGCCCCTGGTTTAGCAAGGAGGGAGTTGCAATACATCACATGATGATGTGTCATTGTGAGTTTGTCACTGCTGTTCTAGAAGTATAGTAAGGACAGTTGTCATCCCAGCTGTATTGTCTGCAGATGGTATCTACTGTTGTGGTTTTACAGACCGTGTGGCAACATTTCCTGTTCATTTCTTCAACTTGCCTTTTGTTGGCTAGAATGAAAAGTGAAGTGTCTCTCATTTGACCTTTTCTAAGTTGCCACTGGAAAACTGCAGCTGGCAACAATTGTGATAGAATCAAGATCACGTGAAGTAAGGCCACACTTGGAATACTGCATCCAGTTTTGGTCGCCACGATGTAAAAAAGATGTTGAGACTCTAGAAAGAGTGCAGAGAAGAGCAACAATGATGATTAGGGGACTGGAGGCTAAAACATATAAAGAACAGTTGCAGGAACTGGTATGTCTACTCTAATGAAAAGAAGGACTGGGAGTGACATGCTAGCAGTATTCCAATATCTCAGGGGCTGCCACAAAGAAGAGGGAGTCAAGCTATTCTCCAAAGCTCCTGAGGGCAGGACAAGAAGCAGTGGGTGGAAACTAATCAAGGAGAGAAGCAACTTAGAATTAAGGAGACATTTCCTGACAGTTAGAACAATTAATCCGTGGAACAAGTTGCCTCCAGAAGTTGTGAATGCTCCAACAATGGAAGCTTTAATAAAGATGTTGGATAACCATTTGTTTGAAGTGGTGTACGGTTCCCTGCCTAGGCAGGGGGTTGGACTAGAAGACCTCCAGGGTCCCTTCCAACTCTGTTACTCCTATTCTATTCTATTCTATTCTATTCTATTCTATTCTATTCTATTCTATTCTATTCTATTCTATTCTGATGAGGCAGGCACTTATGGGCAGGCTTCCGTATGTCCATATAGCACCTCAGTGCACAGGCTGCACTGGTTACCATAAGCTTCCAGGTCCAACTTAAGGTACTGGTTTTTACTTATAAAGCCTTTCATGCCATAGGGGCCTGGCTGTTTAAGGGACTGCCTTTCTCCCAGTTATATCTGATGTGTTCCAGGAGCCATCTTTAAGGCGGCGCCATCTGGTGGGACTCGGGAGGTATGCCTTCCTCTGTCACAAAGGCTGCCTGCCCCCTGGAAATAGCCCCCCCTCCGCCCAAAGGTTTGAGCAGCCCTGATTTGTGGTCCTTATAACAGGCCTCGAAGGCCTAGGTTTCTTCCCAAGGCTTTAGCTTAGGTGGAATATGTGACCCGAGTACAATTGTGCTGTTGTTGCAATTGTGGGGATGTTGCTGTTTTTTTATTGGTCTTATTGTATTAATATCGATTGATTGATTTACTTGCAATTTTAATATTATCCTATCCTTTTTATTTTCTCTCATTGTCTGATCTATTTCACCACCCACTGTAGAAGGATTAGTACCTTGCTCTAAGGCAATGGTCGCCAACCGGTGGCCTGCGGCCCACTGGTGGTCTGTGGTGGTCCTCAGCATGCTGAAGACCAGATGGCTGGCGGGGAGGTGGGGCAATCCTGCAGTCTCCATAGCAAACCCATGTCGTGGCTGCTGCCTCCTGCTTCAGTGCATCGAAGAGGCCAAGCAGCAGGAGGACCTCCTGAGCCACAGGAAGCTGCTGCCAGCAATGCCCTCAGGTGAAGACGTTGTGAGGGGGAGGCTTGATCCCTCCCCTCAGGAGCTTTTCTTCCTCCTTGCCAGAAGCGCTTACATGCCCAGCAGGAAGGAGGCAGCTTGTCGGGTGCCAGAGGGGTGGTGAGCGCTTTGTGTGTGAGCACTTCTGGCGAGGAGGAAGAAAAGCTTTTGAGGGGAGGAGTGGAGCCCCCCCGCAACATCTTCACCTGAGGGCATCTTTGGTAGCTGCTCGACCTTGTCAATGCATGGAAGCAGGAGGTAACACCAGATCATAGGTTCCTTTACCATCACCCCCTCGCAGGCCAGGGAACACCCGTGAAGGGCTCCGATGCCGCGATCTCCCACACATATCAGCCCATCCGCTGCTGGTATCAGCCCTGTTGCCCCACCTCCCTGCCAGCCATCTGGTCTTCAGCACGTGGCTCATTGGCCTCCAGATGTCAGATTCTCACCACCCAGCACCAGTTCAGAGGTTCCTTTCACCCCACCCCATCCCCAGGACAGAGGGGGGGGGGGAAGAGAGAAAGAGAAAGAGGGAGGTGAGAGAGAAAGAGAGAGAGAGAGAAAGATGAGAGATCCCAGTGTTTTGTTTTCTGTGGGAAATGAATCCAAATGACTCTCTGAGTATTTAAGGTTGCAGAAATAGGCAGCCAAGCTAAGTGCCTGAAGGACCCCTCCTGTCAGTGGGAGTCCAAGCGCTTCAGTGAGTGGCATGCTGGATTCATATTAGTGGCCCGCGGGATTTAAAATTATAAGTTTGGTGGTCCCTGAGGTCCAAAAGGTTGGTGACCCCTGCTCTAAGGTGTATTTAATGTTTCTATTTTGTAAATTCCTTAATGAATCTGTATTTTACATAATGGTCTGGATGGCATGGTCTCATTGTGCTCTTGTTTATTTCAGGTGCTGCTGGTGTACTTGTAGGACATCCATTTGATACAGTTAAGGTGGGTTTACTTTTCACAAGCTTTCTTGAAATATGTGATTAGACTGAAAGCAGTATCTGCCCTTACAAATAGAATAGGGAAGTCATCTAGATGTTTTAGGCCATTTAAGTAAGACACCTCCTAGAGACCTTCCAATAGATTGCAATAATACTAAACACTGCAACGTTCCATGTTGCATTCAACATTCCACAGAAATGGAACATTTAAAGTTTCAGATTATATCATCCCTTGTTTGATGCACTTAAAAAGTGTTCTGAGGTATATGTCTTCAATCATATTTTAAATATGATAGTTCAATGGCATCTAATAAATCTTAAGAGTGTACATAACTCATTTGTACCAAAATAAAATTTAAAAATGCACTTTCCTTAATCCTGCTTTATCTGGTACAATTATTTTATTTGCATTTGAAGCAATTAATTTGTTAATTATATTGACTAGATGACTGTTTGCTGCATGATGAAACAGTCTTGCTGATTTAATGTGCTTCTTCCCATCCAAGAAAAGATGTTGTGAGTTTTCAATGACAATTTTTATTTACTTGTTTAAGACATGGATGTATATTGGCTGCGGTTGGATAGTTCAGTAGTAAATTATTTGTCAAGAAAAAAATTAAGAGTTTGGGTAATATTCGCGCCTGTAAAGAAATTAAATAATATTCAAAACAGGACTGTGAAAATAAGATACTAATAATGGGAGTACAGAGATTTCAAGTTGCAAACATGTTTGCATTTTTAATTCAGGGAATCCCTCACTAAAATAGATGAGGCACATTCATATTTTGGAATATGAATGTGCCAGGGTGAAGCTGTATGCTAAGAATATAAATTAAAACAAATCCAAGTATTTTGGTTTGTATGAGAATTACATTAACTTTTTGAAGAGAAAATGTGCTGGATAACACTGTAAACAACCTTAAAAAGTAAAGGAATACTTATCCATTTAAGCCTTGAAAAATGTAGCTTCTTGGCTTGTAAATGGATTTTTTAGTTATTTCATTCCAAGAAATAATCTTTGCTATGGATTCATTCTATTAAATTGCACAGAACTTCTTTTCACATGGTTTCTTATCAGAATGAGTAGCTTTTAGGAGTTACACTTAATCCTGCATATATTATAATGGACAGGTTCTCAGAATGAGTTGACACTCCTGAATTGAAATTTATTTTAGTTCAATTGTTTTGGTGTATTTATATTTCACCTATCACAAACATGGTATCTGTGGGATGTTTAAGGAGATATTCACTGGCTCTTTTAGTTTAAAAACAATTATTGCATCACATACCCACCCTCAAACTGTGCCCGGGGACCAAGCTATATGCATTCTTGGAAACATGTTCAATACATTTGCTTTGTAAGAAAACTCTATCATATTTGGGAGGTTACTTAATTAATCACAAATTGCCGAGATACTTTTTATAATTTGTACAATTTCAACATGAAAACATAAATAATTTCTTCCTATAAATATACATACTGATAAAGCATTTATCTTAAATGCTTAGCTTGCTTCTGTGTTGTTAAAAGAACAGTGATATGACTACTCCACACTGAGGAGGGGGAATCTGTTTTGGAGACAGATTCTATGCATATTTATTTGAAAGCCCAGCCCACTGAGGGATTAGCTTTCAAGAAAATATGGACAGGATTGTATCATTGCTTCATTTTAATCGGTCAGAAATAAAACAACTGTTTTCACGAAAAGGCATTTATTAAATCTTCGTTAAGCCTTACCTAATATGACAGTCTTTTCCTGATGAAGCTGAATAATGTAGCTAGGCATATTTTCTCTTGAATGCTGTGTGTGTGTGTGTGTGTGTGTGTGTGTGTGTGTGTGTGTGTGTTCGGGTCTTTTCTTGGCCAAGATACTCTTAATCTTACACAGGAAAAGACCCGAACACACCTAGACCTACATACCTGTACTCGTGAAAATCTACACACACACACACACACACACACACACACACACACACACACTGGAATTTAAAGCAAAGTTTAATAACTTTCAAGTAGTTCTAATGATTAGGCAGGCTGGGTTTGTGGGACGGGGAGGGTAAGGGCTTGTAAAATGGGGAAGATGCTGAACTGTTTTGGAACCAGCTCTTCAAATGGAGACTCCTGCCCCACTTTGTTGATGTAATGTGTACAATTTCTTTGTTGCTTAACTGCCTTTACTTTTTGAGCTAGGGGCTGTCTTCATTAACAGCAAAAGTGTTACTTTGTTGTAGATGACAGATAAGCCTCATCACGGGAGAGTTACCTAGTAAGTATAGACCAGGTGAACATTCTGTTTCTCTCGGTCTTAATTTATTCCAACATTTATGATTAGTACAAATTTTTATAAACAAGCAAAAAGTACCTTCCCTTTAAAAAAAAAAAAGTTTTAAAAATGTTTCTAGAATGGAGGGTGTGGGGTATATCTATTTTTTTTTAAAAAAGAAAAGTCTAACTTCTGCAATTTATTCTTTAGTGTTTTTCTTTGTCCCATTTTGTGCTTAAAGTTTGTACACCTGTGCTAACAAGCAAAAGCCTCTTAAATTGTGAATTCTGTTTCAGCCTTTCCTTAAATCAGGAACCCATTTTTTTCATTTCCCTGTACAGCTATGACTGCTTTGTGTTAATGAGTTTTAGGTATTGCTACTGGAATGATTTCTGAGCCCACTCTGTATGCTTTTTAGTATTTTGAATTGCCAACATATTTGATTGCTACTCACGTTTACAAAATAAGAAGAAAAACTAGGAACAATCTTAATAAAAATGATTTTTATTAAGAAATGACATTGGGACAAAAATAGAACTCTTATTCTAAAGATGCAATGCTCTTAAGGTTTAAACTATTGTTAGTCTCTGAGGTCCTTCAATTGTTTTAAAATAGCCAGGTTCCAAATTGTTCCTCCACACAGGATTTTTTTGACCCTGTAAATCTTGTATATGGATTGCTGGAATTCGTTGTACTAAGATTATTTAGACTTTTGGCATATTTAAGTTGTGAACCCTAAGCTTGTTAAGGTATTGTAGTTGTGGTGCTATAGAAAAAAAAATCTAAGTTTATGCCTGGGGAACATTTTCACTTACAGCTGATATATATTGAGCTTAACTATTCATGGTTCTATAGATGAGCAACACTTAATTCTTTAGAAACATCAGATGTGCTAATTAAACCAGCAATAACTGAATAGCCAAGTGAGGATTTGTCTCACTGAAGATCTTAATTTAACATCCTAGCAAGTGACCATTCCATATAGGATATAACATAAAAAAACGCTTCCAAAATGCAAACTCTGTTCTCTTTAATGTATTGTGGCATCATGCCTGCACACATGTACATAGCTATATTATGTGTATGCACCCAAAGGTACTATCATTCTCGTTGGTTTTATTTTGCCATGTCAGTAATTTCTGATTACATTTTATAGGTACGCCTTCAAGTTCAAAGTGTGGAGAAGCCGCTCTACCGTGGGACTGTACATTGTTTCCAGTCTATCATAAAGCAAGAATCTGTAAGTAACTTCCTGAATTAATGTGCATGATGGGCATTTAAGTGGAGGAGGAGCTATTTAAATAAAAGGAATGTGGTCCCCCTTTTATAGAATGTTGGTAGTACTGGAACTGCAAAGCCACCTGATAGTTTGAAGGTACCCAGGCCATCTGTCAAAAATGGCCTCCTCCAGGACATAATAAGGATCATATATAAAGCCCCAAAGATGCTGTAGCAGTTCAACAAACTACCATAACTTTTGCTTCATTTTGTTTGATTATTTTAGACATAGTTTAATTATTATTTAAAACTATTTATACCAATATTTATTGCTGAGACTATAATCCCACCAAGACTTTTGTTTGCAACAGGTTAAAAAAAATCTAATTAAAAATAGTCATAGAGGAGGTTAAAACATTCAGGGGCAGGTTGATTTAAATAGATTCCAAGTCAGTGCTATTCTTATTTTTGTAAAATAGACATAGATGGATGCATTTTAATTTTACATACCTCATTTTTTTCTCTTGCTGCTGGTCACCCATTCGCTTTTTCACAAACTGAAGTGATCAAGCCTTTACTACATTCTTTTAAACTGCTTTTTCTAATAATTAAACTTTAGCAGTGAGTGTCAACGGTTGACCAGCTTTAGCAAGAGACAGAAAAACATTTAAGAAAATAAAGTTTTTTTTAAAAAAAGTAGGCCAACGGCAAGTGAGCATGCTTAGTAAATAGGGAATGTTGGGTTTCTCCGGGAAAAAAGAAGACCCCACTTAAAACATTTACATTTCTGTGATCCAATTTATACATGATTATTTGAAAATAAGGCACCCGGAGTGTAATAGGACTTATTCTTAGGTAAGTATATACACATTGCAGTGTTGGACACACATGGTGTCCAATTGAATACAGTAACTGGTATTTTTTATTGTGAGAATGTGAACTAACATCTCCCTGCACCTTCTGAAAGCAGTTGTGTCCCATGAATGTCTCAGAATCACATAATAGATACAAAGCACAGGTCTATGATCTTGGGAAGAAGTGGAGATCCTTTAAGGCATTGTGGCAACTCGGGAGCTTTGCATCAGCATGGATGGATGCTATGTACATATTCAAAAGATAAATTCCGAAACATTTGACAAAACTATAAGCACTCTCACTCTCACTAGAAAAGATAATAGTACAGGACAGTAAAATCCACAACAAGCCACAAACAATAACAATAGCAGCAGCACTAGTGGCACAGATCTTACTGTGGCTGACAATCTCCGAAGGTTTCACTGTCATCCAGAGCCATGAGAAGGGGACATTCCTCCGTAGTTCCATCCATATTTAAGTTTAGTTTAATGATACAAACTGGGTGGATGTTTGATACTCCTAGCAGGTAGCGAATAAATGCAAATTCACTCATACCTAGTTGTAGCAGAAGTATTGAAGTGTAGGAATATTGCAGTAATAACTGGCACAACTTTAGAGTATATCAAGAGATATGCATATTACTGTAGACCAGGGGTGTCAAACTCGATTTCATTGAGGGTCACATCAGGCTTGTGGTAACCTCAGGGGGCTGGATGCGTGTGGCCTCAGTGGATGTGGCTGGGGTAGGCGTGGCTGGGGGGGGCATGGCCAGCTTCCTGCCTCATCATTACTTCCTTCTTTCCTCCCTCCCTCCCTCATTTCCATCTTGTGTTTTCCTCCGCACTCAAGAAGGGATATGGGGAGGGGAAAAGATTGGCAGAGCTGCTGGTGGCCATGCTTACTGTGCCTGTGGCTTTCCCACGCAGGGCAGATCATGGGTGGTCCTAGGGAAAGGGAAGTTGCACGAGCTGCAAGGCTGGACCAGCAAACAGCCATGGAGGCGCCGGTGGTGGGTGCGGCGCTGATCTATAACTAGATGGTGGCCTTAGATCCACGGGGCAGCCCTTGAGCCAGCTGGGTGCCATGTCACTGCCTCGACCCCGCCCCTTGGCCATGCGCACAGGAGGTGGCAAGTGCCCAGAGGGCAGGGCTGAGACAGCAGTTCTAAGGCTGACTGCATTCCAGCCTGGGATGGCGGCCATCAAGTTACAGATTAGCGCCTGGCTGGCCTGGGCCAGGGCTGAGGCACTAGTCCTTTGCTGTCTCAAGGGCAGCCCACACGGGCCAGATCTAGCCACATTGCAGGCTGGATTCAGCCCGCAGGCCTTGAGTTTGACATCCCTGCTGTAGACCATGCATATGAATGTGTTCCTGTTTTAGGGCAGAATGCTTAATTTCATTCGTATCCATCTCTGCCTCAAAGTTTTGGAAGGCTTGGGAAAAACACTGAATTATTTCTATTCATGCCCACAAACAAAGCTCACATAAGATTGATGATTTTCTTCCTGCTTTGCTATTGATCTCAGTTCCTCGTTTGCGAGATGAAAACTTCAGGATTCATATAAAAAGGAACCTCAGGTTTCACATAGCTATATAAAGATGTGCATTTGATTCCTAAAGGGATGTGCTAGGCAGAAACAGTCCAGTCTCCACTGTTAATAATGCCAGCAGTTGGTGGTAACTGTTGCTGATTCATCTCCTGATTATTATTAATTATTAATTAATAATTATTATTATTTTGTTAGAACATGAATCCAATCCAGATTAGGGAGATGGAATTGGTGATAATTTGCTTTGTTCATATTCTGATATTAAATAAGTAGCTGTCAAGTGTAAAAAAACGTAATATAGGCAGAATTTCCCAACCTTTGGGGGTTGGTGGCCTGGAGTGGGGGAGGGGCAGGCACCTTTATGAATGAATGCCTGATGCAAATGGGTTTGGGATCCCCTGATATAGGGTAAGAAATAGGAGAACTTTTGAAAACAATAGCTGCATATTGAAATGTGTGAACTTGGGGATTGTGGAGTATCTTTGGCATTTGGAGGTTGCACACATTCACTTTTTTTGCTGCTGAAGAAAAAGCAGATCTTTGGGATGGGATGTTGGGGTATGGCAAGTTGTTGCTGCCATAGTCTAGGAGTGCCATGCCTAAAGGATAATTCAGATCTAACTATTGCAAAACAAAAAATTGCAGAATGTTAATAGCTTTATTATACGTTGCTTGAGAAAAGTCTTTAAATTCCTGGTCATCATCTATATGTGTGCTTTGTTTTCATCTAGGCTTTTGGACTTTATAAAGGTATTGGGTCGCCTATGATGGGTCTCACCTTCATTAATGCCCTTGTCTTTGGCGTTCAAGGGAATGCTCTCCGTGCTCTTGGAAAGGACACACCTGTACATCAGTTCCTTGCAGGTTCAGCAGCAGGCGCCATTCAATGTGTGATCTGCTGTCCTATGGAACTGGCTAAGACACGGATGCAGCTGCAAGGAACAGGGGAATACAAGTTGAAGTCCAAGAACTACAAAAACTCTTTGGACTGCTTGGTGAAGATCTACCGAAAGGAGGGTCTAAAAGGCATCAACAAGGGAATGGTTTCCACGTTTCTGAGAGAGACCCCCAGCTTCGGTTTCTACTTTTTAACGTATGACTGCCTAACAAGGTATCTGGGGTGTGAAGCGGAAGATAGTTACATTGTTCCCAAACTGCTTCTGGCAGGAGGCATGTCTGGCATAGTCTCCTGGCTCTCTACATACCCTGTGGATGTAATCAAGTCCCGCCTTCAGGCTGATGGAGTTGGAGGAGTCGTACGGTACCAGGGTATTCTGGACTGCATTAGAAAAAGCTACCGCGATGAAGGCCCAAGGGTGTTCACAAGGGGTCTTACTTCCACCTTGCTTCGTGCTTTTCCTGTTAATGCTGCAACGTTTGCCACTGTTACGATATTCCTTACATATATGAGGTCAGAGGATGGCCAGATCAGAGGCGATTTAAGTGGATGTGAGGCTGGTCCAGTCATCCAACAACCTTCGAGTTTTTAAATTGACTGGAAGATAAAAGTTGTACCTGTTACATGTAAGATGTCATCATTTTTTTAAAAAAAGATTATTTGGATACCAAGAGTATACATTTTGGCCTGTATAAAGCATCTTTTTAAAAATCTCATTTATAAAAGCAGCTTAATGCTTTAGGAAGACTCTGAGTTGACTAGAAATTCAGGCAATAAAAGGATTTGTCCTTTTGAACATGTGCTCAAACCACATCTGCTGGATTTTCCAGTGTAGCCTTGACTTTAATTCCCACAATCCCCAGCCAGCACATTATTAAGGAAATCCAATGCAGTCACTAGCTAAAGTCAGTTTCAACGTATCTCAGACAGCTCAAAATGGCGACTACATCTATCAGCCCTGAGGCTATATTCCTAATCAGATTCTATCTGTGTTCAAACAGGAAGAGAAGAAATGGGGCCTTGAACAGATAATGAAGGCTTGTATGCACAGATGCATACGTCTCTCAACACACATTAAAAGGTCTGGATGGATTCTCTGTTCTAATTATTGCTCAATCTGACCACAATATTTTATTTAGAGCAATTGTCCTGGTAAATGTAGAGTTAAAAGAACACCTATTTGTTTCATTTTCCTGCACTTTATCCTAGGAGAGCTTATGTTTTTCCAAATAATTTTAGCTCATAATTTATAACCATCTGATCAGTGGCCTTCCTGATGGGAACTGATGGAGATGAACAACTGGAGAACTACAAGCCTTTCCAGACTCTGTATTTTAACAACCTGTTGCAAGTCATTCTGTAGATGATGTAAGCTACACTTTATCATTCTTGTTAATTAGCAGTACTTGTCAGGAAGCCTGCTGCTTCCTGCTAATTGTGAATATTTTAGTACAGTATATGAACAGCCTGTTTTATTATTTGATCAGTATCTCAATAATACTGTTCAGTATGTAGATGCTTTCCCTGCTATTTTTAGATTATGGCTTGTTTTTCTGTGCTACTATTTGCATTTGGCTTTTAATTTTTTTAAATTGTATGCAGTTGCATCTTGTAAATATTTAAACGTATTTTAGTTACTATGTTTTGAGTTGGAAACTAGAGTATATCTAGAAACCTTGTTACAACCCAAATGTAGACCTGGGCTGTCAAACTTGCAGCCCACGGGCCGGATGTATCATGCATTGGCCACAGCCACGGCTGGTTTAGCGAAAGAAAAAAAAGTAGTGTGATACGTCACGTGACAATGTGAGTTTGACACCCCTGAATTAACTATTGTTTTTAGGGTGACAGTGATAGATGTGCCTAAATTATCATTTCTCCATTACCAGGGTATATGCGCATAATTATGGTCTATGTGTAATAAGATAAAGGATGAAAGTATGTTTCAAAGGATTTAACAGAAGTGTGTTTTAGAGAATTCAATAATGAAAAAAGTCAAGCTCGGTAGTTTTGGAAATTTTGGTGAACAAGAGATCTGACAAACTATTAAGCCTATTTCATAGCATCCTTAAATAAGAATGCTGTAACATTATCTCACTGACATCAGCAATATATTAAGTTTTAATTAGGTTTTATTAACAAAGGTTTAAGGTTGCAGTGCTATACACACTTATCTGGATGATTAAACTCCAATTGGGCTGATTTCTGAACAGCAAAAAATACCATTGGCCTAGTCATAATATCTCTCAAGATATAAGAGCCATCTGGCCAGTCAAACATCTGTTCCACATCACTGACTGAAGAAAAAAAATCTTACACTAAATCAGAATTTTGGCATCTCCTTTTGTAGTAATGAAGTCTCTAGGGATTGCCTATAAGTATTAAGAAATCTTAATTAGCTTAATTAGTAATTAGCTTGACATTGAAAGTTTTGTTCCTGTCCATATCCACCTCACTTAAAGATCTGATCATAATTAATAAAACTGTTGTGGGCAGGAAAAAAACATTTCTGTAATTTTATGCCAGTGTTTTCACATTGGCTTGAATTGGATGCATTGGAGGTAAGTTTGAACATGCAAAGTATTTTTCCAAATTAATTGAGGAAAATCAAGTTCAACCCATTTGTTGTTGTAATGCAAATTGAAGCCATTCAGCACAGTACTACAGGCTTGGGCACAATGTCTGCTCTGGTTAATTTCCTCACAAACTCTCCCACAATAACAATGTGTAAATGTGCTCATTCAACAGTTGGACAAAAAGATGATGTGAAATTCCTCAAGTTGAAAGCATGGATTAACTCTTTTTAACTCAAAGCATGGATTAATTTACCCGTTCAAGAAATAAAGTATATAATGCGAGATTGCCAAGCAGCAAGAACTTGGTGTAACAATTAGACTGAAACTTAAAAGCTGAAGAAACAGGATGTAAGACAACTTTCTCATCACCTCTAAGGACACCTTGGCATTCAACCAACTATTTGGCACATAGAGGGGTCATTAAAGACCCTTATAAATGCTTTAAATTGCAGTTATACCATTGACTTGGCCCTACAATATATACATTGTTTAAACACCATGTTTCTCACATGCTTTTAAGTTCTTCCTATTCTATTTCCATTGCCGTGAAGAATGTGCAAGCCCAATGAAAAAAAAAGTATCACTTGCAGATTTAACTTTGGATCAGAGCCTACATAATTATGGGTCCAAAACATCAATTGAAGACCATTATTATAGCTGTTGAATAGACAAGAGGAAGAAAAACAGGTAGAAAAACTAGCAATGTGATATATAACAGAGGCTCGTATGTAGAATGTACCATTAACTAACTGCAGTGGAAGATATTTTTGCGGACAGGTGCAATATGTCTGTTTAAACTCTTTAATAAAAAATCCAGCCAATTATTTTAATAATAATTATGCTGGAGAAACCTATAAAACTGGATTGCTGCTTCTATACATGCAGGTATAGTGGATGTTTTGACACTACTTGCAGGGACATTCAAATTGAATGTGAAATCCAAGTTGTTTGTTGTGCAACGACACTATCTTTTTTTTGTACAGTATTCTGTAACTGTTGTACATAAAAGTAATAAATCTTTTTTTTAAATGTAGTTTTTTCTTTGATGGAACTAAGGTCACCTATACTAAATCAAGTATGAGCAACTTGTGGACACAGAAACCCCTCTGATAAGAATTTACAAAAACTGTTATGGTTCCTGCAGAGTGAAAAACATACATACCGTAATACAAATCCTAATAAACAAAGTTCAAAAATCTAGAAAATTCCCCATCTATCCTTCCCATTTGGCAACTCTTGAGCCTTCAATGTTAGATGTTGCCCTTGACCTGCAAAAAGATTGCCCACCTTCGTACCAAGCCAAGATCCCTTTATGGTGAAGCATTTTTGTAAATCAAGAGCTAGAAGAGAAACTACATATGGTTCATCATGTGGCAATACACTCCACTAGGTATCCCAAGGTCTACAAAGGTGCCTTGTCTGAGGTAGAGTTTAAATACCAATCATCATGCTATGGGAAGTAAAAGATTTTATATTTTAAAGATATTTAGCAGATATGGATCTAATGGTTGCAGAAGATCATTTGCAGTCTTTTAATTCCTTTTCTCCAAAATATTCCTGAACAACGAGGGCTGAAAAATACAGAATTTCAATACCAAAGTGGCAGAAAATCAGTAGAGAAAGTAGCACTGATTTCAAGAGATTTGCTTTTGTGTTACTAGTCTATATACTGCTGAGCAGGAACATGACAAAACTGCATTGCAGAGTTACTGGCTTCTGTTCATTAACCAAATTAGTAACCTGCATCCAAGTTATGTAATCCTCCACTCAGTACATTCTACATTCTCTTGTCATCAAGTATTATTTACAGAACATGGCAGGCAATTCAGCAAAAATACTTATGCAATGGAAAATGCTTTCTCAAGTTTACACAAAGTTACAAATACAGGAACATCACAACATACTGCTCTGCTTGTAGTTTCATACTCATTTTTTACATGTGAAATAAGTATAAAAGCCTTGAGCAGTATATTTCTAAGTACATTCAAAGTTAAAGTTGGTTTCAATTGGAGTAGCTTAAAACATTTTCTTTTAGAAGAATTAAGGTATTGAGTGTTGAGTGTGCTGGTATTATATTTCAGACTTTTGGGGATGGAAGACAGCTTTGCAAAAAGTAGATGATGTTTGTGGCTAAGAACAGGCAGTCCTGGGCTCCATCAACCTTTGAACAGAGGATACGAGATCATCCAATCATATGGTTGCTGCTCATGAGGAGATTGCAAAGCATCAGTCTCCGGAGGATGGGATAACCAGAAGCCAAGGGAATTTGCCATATTTGCTCCAGCCACTATCAGGGTCTTCCAAAGAGTACTAAAATCATTTTCCCCTTGCTAATTACATTTAGAAATTGCCTATTGATTGTTTTAAGAAGTTAGGTTTCTTCAAAATATCAAGGCTTGAAACACTGAGGGCCTTAAATCCTTGATACAAGAAAATAAAGATGCCTCTATATGACCTTTAGTTTAGTTTAGTTTACTTTACTTGTCATTGCACCTCATACAACGAAATCAAACACCATCTTCAGTGCACATCATGACCATGAAAATAAACACAAACACACATCCTTCACCCTTCACACAGTGAACCGAAAACCCACAACACCACACCAAAAAAAGTTTAAGCAGCAAAAAGCAAGATAGGACTTTGGCTGTTGAAAGTTTTAAATGGATTAAAAGCTTAGAAAATGTAATATTGGATTTTGAATATTAAGACATTGACAATAATTTTAAAGAATAAATTTCATGGGAAAGAAAAACTTTTCTATATTGAAAATGTAACAAGACAAGCAACTTATAATGGCAATCTGTTCCCAAAAGATGTTACAGAAAAAGATATGTAATAAACAAACATAAATAAAATCTTAAGAATTTTATCATTAGGTGTTAAAAAGATTTGGACGAGGCTTTAAAAATTAAAAAAATAAACATGACAATCCCAGAGAACAATTGGAATAATTTGTTCTTGTTAAAAAGAAGAATTCATAAAAGTTGTTAAAATTCTGAAGAAATTTGAAAAAGGATTATTTGGATCAAAGAGCAAGATTGTCATAAAAAGAAAGAACCCAAAATTGGTTTATGATTAGAGTTAAAATGGAACATTGGCTGTTTTTTGTTTTGCTATATTATTTGCTGACATCTGGACAGTGAAAATGTTGTGCATTGGATTTGTTTTGTTTTCATGGTCTTTAAATCTTTTTCTCTACCATTACTTTATGTACCCAAATCTGACATCAGTTAAATTGGGTTTCTATCAGACTGACCTTTCATTTAAAGTAAGGAATTTTTGTGAGCTCATTTTCATTAAAGGATAAAATATCCCTGTTTGTCATTGTCAAACTTGCCTATAGTTAAGAGATTGTGGGATGAAGAACTTTATATCTGTTAAGAGCTTATGCAAAGCTAGTGAAATTGTAAAAGATAACAGATAATCAGAGTTGGAAGGGACCTTGTAGGTCATCTAATCCAACCACCCGCCCAAGCGGGAGATCCTACACCATTTCTGACAGATGGGAGTCCAATCTCTTCTTGAAAGTCTCAAGCGATGGCACTCCCACAACTTCCGAGGGCAAGCTGTTCCATTGGTTGATTGTTCTCACTGTCAGAAAGTTTTTCCTTATTTCCAGGTTAAATCTCTCCTTGTTCAGTTTCCATCCATTATTCCTTGTCTGGCCTACAGACGCTTTAGAAAACAGCTTGACCTCTTCCTCTCCGTGGCAGCCCCTCAAATATTGGATGGAACATTGCTATCATGTCTCCCCTGGTCCTTCTCTTCACTAAACTAGACTAGCCTTATACTTGTGATGAGGATGGGAAGTTTTTCTTCCTTATCTTGCAGTTTTTCTTCCTTATCTTAGTTTTATTGTCATTGATTAATTAAAACTTAATGTGCTGCTATAGCATTTGGCATTCTATGAAAGGAGCAAGTAATGGAGAGGATTAAATTATAATTTGGCTCTACTATGCAGTGCTTAAAGTACTCATTCAGGTTTGACAAGACAGCATTTAGACTTACTGGGAAGTATTTTTCTGGCCACCAACAGGAAACAATCAACTTTCCTCTAGCTAAGATTTCTTCTTGTTCTATAGAATAAACTTCCTACAGTCTCAAGTACTGACTTTAGGGGATCGTGGGTTAGCTCTTCCTTTAGTGTATATTTCACTGTAACAACCAAAATTGAAACTAAGCTGTATGGAAATGGAAGAACAATGTATAAATTTAGCATAACATAGTAAAGTAACTTGCACCACAATCCTTGACCTCATAATCTTCTCCTAGAGTGGAATTGTTTCAACTTCTGCTGATGGGAGACACTTTGGTAAGGTCCACTTATGTTCTGTCACCAGAACACCAGAGATAAAGTAGATAACACAAAAGGGACATACAAAAGGCAATATTCCCAGGAAAGATCCGTGTCATACTTCCATGTGAAAATCCATGTCAGAGGATACAGAATTATCTATTTTATGTTTTATATATATGGTTCTGCCCTGGAAGCCACCCTACATGTTTATTTCCTACAGCAAAAACCTATTGACATAACCATCGTGAAGCAGGAAGAGTGCTGCCTCTTCTTGGTGCCACGCATCTAATTGTGTATTGGAACATTTGTATTGCCTGATTCCTACATTGTAAGATTAACAATTATTGGCCCTTTGTCACCTAATGTAAGTATTCTGATCGTTCTGAATTCATTTAGCTCAACCTAAGTGCATTCAATAGGTGGGGTAGAATTCCCAACCAGGAGTTGGGAAGCATATTCTCCTCCTGCAAAGTGGAATTTGGAAAATAACCAAGGGCATGAAAAGATCTAAAACCTTCTTTCCACACATAGGTCTCTTAACGTCGAATGAGTCATTATCCCCTAAAGTTTAGATAGAATTTGTACTTCCTCATCTGGTCTGATGGTATCTTTAAGCTTACTTGTACTTCCTTTTGCTCTTCTTTTTAGAATAGAATAGAATTCTTTATTGGTCAGGTGTGATTGGACACACAAGGAATTTCTCTTGGTGCAAATGCTCTCGATGAACATAAAAAATACATTCATCAAGAGTCAAGAATCATAAGGTACAACACTTAATGATAGTCATAGGGTACAATAAGCAATCAAATCATACTAGGAAGCAGTCTATATAAATCATAAGGATACAAGCGACAAAATTACAGTCATACGGAACCTTGTCCTCTGCTGTATTTTGAACTCCAGCCAAGGTTCTGCCGCTCCTTCCTCTACAATAACACAATATAAGTACAAGTGGGATCTTCTAGATATGCTATGGTCTTGAAACAGGAGAGTGGGTGCCATCGCAGAAGCCCAAAGTCGTAATTCTTGTCTACAGTAGCCATATCAATTTCTTAAAGTTTAGCCTTATGAATGTAGGATCCACCAAGGCCTTGAGCATCACGAGGCCATCTCACACACCTTTATGCCCTCCTTAGGGGTGTCCTTTCATATCCATTCTGTTTTGGGGGTTAATCCAGTGGATTTGCCCTTTGGGAAAAGGGAGGCTGGGTGATACTGCCTTATTCTTCCTAACCACTAGTCTGCAGCACTTCTCGCATCTCTGATTACTTCAGGTACCTTGTTTCCCCCAAAATAAGACCCAGATCCAGTCTTATTTGAGGGGAGGGGCTCTAAAAAAAGCAGTAGAGCTTATTTTGGGGGAAATACAATTTCAAAGTGACCAGCCAAGTTGGCGCCCCACCCTCCTGAAGCATGCACAGCAAGAATGCGGGGGTGGGGAGGGCAATGTTGTCTGGCAGCAGCTGCAGTCTGCTAACCCTTTGAATGGAGCATTCTGGGGTTGCAAAGCCTATGCAGCACAGGTTGAGTTAATTACCTGTCCAAGCACCAGAGGGTGGCAGAGGTGCGGGGGGGGGGGGAGGCATGTAATCTGGAAGTGCTGAGAGGCCCGTAGGCAAGTCGAGAGTTGGTGAGACAGAGTGAGTTAGCAGCCATGGGAGGCTTATCTTCATGTCTCTCAGCTTGCCTCAGTCTGTGTGGAGCATCCAGATCGCCTACCTCCGCCCCCCCGTGCCTGCACATGAAGACAAGCCTTCCACGGCTGACCACCTGCTCTGACCCACCAACTCTCAGTTTTCTTGCAATGTTTGGATCGCCTGCTTGGACCAGGTAATCAATTCACCTGCACTGTGCAGGCTGTGGCTGGACAGTCAGCTCTCGGTCCCTCACTGCCTTCAGTGCTGGCCATGCCCCTGGGCCAATGATGATCTTCACTAGGACTTATTTTTGATGTAGGACTTATATTGGGCACACTTAAAAAAATCAGACTAGGGCTTATTTTCAGAGGTCTTATATTCAGGGAAACACAGTATTCGGGAGTGAAGAAGGCATGTTGTTTTGCCTCCTGTTCTGGAAGCAGACACTTCCCTAACTGACCTCAGCTTCCTGGCTGCCTCATTATTCTTAGTCCTCTTTCTCAGAGGAGTCTTCAAATCTTCTGTTCATGTGCTACAAAATCAGTGTCTTGATTGCTGCTATTTGCTCACCTCTAGTGCATTCTTCTCTTGTTTTGGAACCAGACATATACTTGATTATCCTTATTTTCCCATTGGCCAAATGGACTTTACTCACCTTCTGGGGGCTTCTCCAACTCACTCCTGAAACTCACTTGGCTGTGGCCTTGTTGGCATGCCAGTCAGCTCACAAGAGCTGTTTCAGAGCATCTCAGGTCCCAAAATAGAGCAAACAGGGAAAGTCTTCTTCTACAGACTATTCCCTAACGGGACACGGTATCATCTTAAGTTTTGCCTTCTAGCTAGAAGTTAATAAGCTTCCAAAATTATCCTCATCTTTGGAAATTTAGGAAATTCTCAAAATCCTGTATAAAAAAAGTCTAGATATAAAATAGATCTGTTTGAGAATTACTACAGAATTATACCAAAACATAAAATAGTTACTTTCTACTTCCTAATCTTCCTTAAGAACAATCTATTATATTCAGAATCCATTTTTCAATAAAATTAACATTTAATTATAACATCCAGCAGAGTTCTACAACCTCCCATCAGTTCCATGGCCTGGTTCCAAATGGTTCAAGATCCACTAGTGGGCTACGGCTTGGGGGTTGGGGATCCCTGCCATACAGGAAATGCAAGCTCTAAAATTAGGGTTTTTTGTTTGCACTGGACACAACTTTGGCATTTTAGACTGAACCCATAATTGATCATGTCTTAGTTTAGACATACTTCACCTCTATTCTTGTTTGTGCAAGATCAGTACAACCATTTGACTTGATCCAATTGTGTAACAGCATTAATTTGAAGAGATGTCCATTTGAAGACCATATCCTTTCCACTAAAAAAGCAGTAATGGTGCCAGAATTGTGGACAAAAGGAAGACAATGAAAATTATCCAAAACAAGTTTTTTTAATGTGAAGAATGTATTTCCTTAACCCAGAAGCTCAGTTGGCTTATAAATTTGGTGTTTTTTAACAAAAGACATGCCCTGCATAGAAAAGCTATTTTACTGTAATTCAATCCAAAATATTCTAATGCTAAGCTTTCATCTGAGATCTCTCATTTACATTGATATTATGTTAGAATTCACAAGCCCAGTGCATCACATCATACAATTGATTCAACTGATATCATCTTACCTTGAAGTAACAGCATTCCATGAATTACCCTGTCCCACCATTCACTGATTGCAGGGAATATGGGTATATTCCACAATATCTGCTAAGAAAGAATGATCTGTTTTTTCTCTTGCAAGATCTGTTTTTGAAGGTGGAGACCCTGTGGAGCATTATCTGAGAGGTGGAAAGTAGACTAAAAGGAATGGGAAATCCCACAGCAAATGTTTGCTTACATAATCCTGGAAGGAATCCAATAAAACTTGAAATTTTACTTCAGGAAAACCCATTATTATCTGGATAAACCAGAACTCCATACTCATTTAATGGAATGCTACGCAGAAGACAAGCACACTAACATTTTTTTAAATAAAAAAATCTAATTGAATGCAAAAACAAGTAAAGGTAACTTGAGTTTTATTTATCTTCTAATTTCTGGGAGGTTAAAGAACTATAATTTGTTTTGGACAACAGAAGAAAATAGGCTGTGCTTACAGATAATTTTCTGCCATATTCTTCAGGACCACTGTTTTATTGTTGCCCACTCTATTACACGGGATGTACATATCAGGTGTTGTTAAAAGGTCAGTGCCTGTACAATACATTCTACAACCGAGCACCACTTTCCTTAACTGAACAGGCAAAGAGAAAGTACACAGAACATCAGCATCTGGCAGTATTTTTCCCAAAAAAAGAGACTAAAATGGGTTTAAGTTGATTAACACTATTAAATCACATCTAATATTTGTTACTACATGATTTCATTACAGCTATACGATACAATTATACAAAATGTGTTAACATCAAAGAATACAACCAAAAAAAAATTTATGATAGCAAACAAAACCTATATAACTTTTTTTAATCTTTACAGGAAAATACTTTTGAAGTATGCATGTAACTGCCCATTCTTTTAAAGAAAATCTACTGCAAGCAAAGTTATCAACCTCCAGAAAAAAATCACACATAGCATTACTAAGCATATCCCCAAAAAGTGTACAATATGCACACTTTGAAAATACAAAATTAAAAAATTGTAAGCAACAGGTGAGCATCATATTTATAACAATGTGAAAAGTCCAATTTTAGCACTGTTTGTAGAAAGAACTCTTTGATGCAAGTCCATGAATTGTCTGTCTCTTCCAGGTAGGATCACACTTTACAAAAACACCATGCTCTTGAAACCAAATTACAGAGCAAAATGGAGCATTGGAGCAATGCTGCCTTAAAGTTTATTTTGCTACTTTATCAAAAACAAGTCCCTTGGCATGTAAGGTTCATTTTTTGTGTGTTTTTTAAAATTCTTTCCTAGAAACAATATACAAAGGGGGAAGCTTATTTATTTTCAACCATTCTCCTGTAAGGTAAAAGATGTTTTGAGTTCAAGAGCTTTGTTCTTGCAGTTTCACTGGTTGTTTTTGGCCTTAGCATGTGTTAAGATATGAGATTTCAGATTAGTTGACTGAGCAAACTTCTTATTACAGCCATCAAAAGGGCACACATAGGGCCTATCTCCAGTATGAATTCGCACATGTGTGCGTAAATTGAAGTCCAGTGAAAAGCGTTTGCCACAGCCTTCAAATGTGCACTGGTGAAAAGAAAACACAAAAAATTAGCAACTTGTCTACAGATCTTCATTTGCAATATTAGATTTACATGAAATAAAGATTCTATTCCGTACAGTTCCAAATCAGGTTATTAATAAGTGAGTTCCATGAAATTGGAAATGTTCACAAGTGCTGTTGAACAGTAAAGAATTATATAACTATATCCTCTTTGCTGAGAGATTACAAGATGTAAGAATTCACTCCCAAGATAGATATATTTCATTTAAATCAGTTCATTTAAATCAGAACACGTGTACAAGACTTTTCTACAGTCCGATGTTTTAAAAGATTCTGAAGATGGTCTATTTATACTTCCATTTGTCAAAATAGTCAGAAAGTATTGAGAATTTACTTCTTTTTGCAACCTAATGTAGGCAATACTATAATATATACACACACACACACACACACACACACACACACACACACACACACACACACACAGAGTATTCAGCTTTCTTCAGGTATTTTCCCACGTCATTATAGTTGTGCTTTTAAAGTTGTAGCAACGTTTTGGCAGAATCTCATCTGCCATCATCAGGCTTCTGTATTGTTTTCGTCTGTGAGTCAGACTTTCACAGCAGTTTCAGTTTTAAATTTGGGGCTAGCCTACTGCTGTGCCAGAATGGTTTTTTTTTTCTTCATTCTGATTGGTTGGGAGTCTTGGTCTGTGTTTATTGGTCTTGGAGTTTGCTATGTTCTGCTTGATTGGTGTTTCTAATATCTTCTGTCTGTTTTGTGGCTTTTTTTGTCTTGATTGGCTGATAGGAAGCTAGGTTTCATCTGGGTGCTTGGTTGGGGTGTGTTTGAGCTGGAAGTATCAGGGGGGATCTGTTTGTGCCCAGGTGTTTGCCTGGCTTGTGTGGAGATTTGTTTGTGAGTGCAGGCTTCCAAATAATTGAGAATCTGGTGGAATCATCTCTTCTATTCATGCTTTCAAGTCTTTTTTCAATCTCTATGGCTTCTCTGATAATTCTGTGGCTGGGGTTTTCTATAGTGGTTAGGGTTTTGGTGCCATTGAAGTCGATGCTATGACCTGTTGCTTTCATGTGTTGGACTAGTGAGGAAGTGTGTTCCAGCTTTTTGACTGCATTTTTGTGTTCATCCAGGCAGGTACTTATTCTTCTATTGGTCTGTCCAATGTATGTGGTCGGGCATGATGCACAGGGGACTTCATATATGCCTTGGTTTTCCAGGTCAATTTTATCTTTGGGGTTTCTTAGGATGGCTGCTATTTTTCTGTCTGTTTTGAAGGCAGTCTTGATGTGATACCTGTGTAGTATCTTACTGATTTTGTCTGTAGTACCTCTTATGTAGGGCAGGACAGCTGTTCCATAGATCTGTTCCATAGGTCTGTCCACTAAAGGCCTCCACTACAGGAAACACAATGTTGCCAGCCAATCAAGACAAAAAAAGCCACAAAACAGACAGAAGATATTAGAAACACCAATCAAGCAGAACACAGCAAACTCCAAGACCAATAAACACAGACCAAGACTCCAAACCAATCAGGATGAAGAAAAAAAAAACCATTTTGGCACAGCAGTAGGCTAGCCCCAAATTTAAAACTGAAACCACTGTAAAAGCCTGACTCACAGATGAACACTATACAGAAGCCTGATGATGGCAGATGAGATTCTGCTGAAACGTTGCTACAACTTTAAAAGCACAACTACAATGACGTGGGAAAATACCCGAACAAAGCTGAATACCATACAAGTACCAGCGGAAACTTAACACACACAGACACACATATATATATACACACAGATCTTGGAGTACCGTGAAAATCTATGAAACACACACACACACACAATCAGCCTATCTACTATCTCTCACTACATGGGTGGTAGCCCTTATTTAAGTAGGGGAAGAAGATATTATTTAGAAAACATTAACTGGAATTTGATATATTTTAAACCATACAAAGCAAAATACTAACTTAAATTACCAATGAAGATTATCACAAGCATTTTAACATCTTACTATAATCATACAGTGATCATCTATGTACAAAAGTAAATGTTCAAGTAGCTTCTTTGTATTTAAATGTTACTTTTTTAAAAAAGCATACTTTAATAGGAGAAATGGTCATGTGCCAGACATACTGACTACAATATACTTTAAATATTTCTCCAATTATCTTCTAAATACCCAATTTAGTTTCTGAACAAATTCCTTCCAGTACTTCAATGATTTTATCTATCCCCAAAATTATCTAGCTTCAGAAATAAAGCAAATTCAGAATATAAACCAAATAGAAACTAACTAGATTCTCATTACAATGTCATGATTGTGTCATCTACAATAGTTGAAATAGTTACCTGAAAGGGTTTTTCTCCAGTATGAACTAATTGATGCCTCTTTAGCTTTGAGCTCTCAACAAAGGCCTTTCCACATTCTGCACAGACGTGTACCCGAGGCCCATGAGTGTGTAGATGCTTTCTCATGGCCGAATTATCCCTGAACATCTTTGTGCAGCCCTTCAAAACAACACAAGTAAACTTTTTAATTGTTAAGGCAGGCCCAAATATCAGAATTATCATCATCTTAATCTATATATACTGACCAGACTTACAATTATACAGAACCAAAATATGGTTTGATTTTGGTATACTGCAAAGCCCAAGCACGGCCATTGCTGCCTATTGGACTTAATGCTGTATGAAGGGAGATTGTTAGGAAAAATCTCTTCTTTCTTGAAGATAGGAATTAGAATTTTTTATATACTACAACAGTGATGGTGAACCTTTTGGGTTAGGCATTTCAAAAATTTAGAAAATGCCTTACATAAGTCTGATAATGTGTCAGTGCCCCCCAAAGAGAAACAATTCTTTAAATATTCATTTATTTTAAAAAATACAGTCAAATCATGTATGGTGCTATGTATTATACAAAGAAACATTAAATAACACAAAAATGAAATGCAAGTAAGACAAACACAATTGGGGGAGGGGTGTGGAAAGAATGGAGCATACTTTTGAACATGGTAGCCAGGTGTCAGGGCATGTCACCCAAAACACTGTGTCCACCTTTGACATGTCATAGGTTCATCATGACTGTAACATGCCATAAGATAAATTTAAACCACACCGCAAAACATTTATGAAACTCCTATATTAAAAGGGTTCTTACTGAAATAAATTGCTCAAAATGGCTTCACTCACTTTATGAGGACATGCTATCGTTCTTGGTGCATCATCTTCTTTGATTTTTCTTGGCTTCATTCTTACAAGAAAAAAAAGCATTGATTGTTGAATAGCAGACAAGTTAATATAGAAGTACCCTTGTTATAAATTACTATACTATAATGCTATTGCTTCTTGATGAACTGCTTTTAACTGCTTTAATTAATGAATTTAACAATTTACAATTCAGATTCTATTAAAGAAGAAAAAGCTGCCAAGTTTGGTTCACTTAAAACTCAGAAGTATACACAGAGGAACAATATATGATTTGAGGAGAGTAGGACCGACATAGAATTAACTGCAGAAAGGATTACTTAGCAAGTGATTGAAAAACTAGGCAGCAGTTTCTAATTTGTTGAGCTTGTTTTAATATTAACCACCAACATCTCTTGGTGGACATTAATATCAGATATATTATTGGAAATAATTAAAAGCCTGAGAATTTGAGACCTTTCAAAGACCAACAACAAATTGTCTCCTAACCAGAAGTGTAATCTAGAGACTGGGGCAGCTAGAAGGGATTTAAACCCAAGTTGCGATACTGTAAAATTATGCTGTGAAATTATTGCCAGCAAACTCTCCAGGTGGATCCCAATGAGACTGGAATTGTATAAAAATATACATTTTCTTCAATAATGTGAACAAGCCCAAACAGTCCACTGTAGTTTTCCCCACAAACGAAATGACAATATTTTTTAGTATAGATTCAATATATTTGAGTTCTGACCAGTGGATGTTTTTAGAGAAAGGGATTTGGGAATGGCATGATTAGTCTCTTTAGCCACTAGTTAATACAGACTATATCTAGCCAACAAGATTTCTACCAAATATAGAGCTCATAGTAAATCTCAGGATTGTGAACTGATAAATTCAGGAGAAAATAAGAGCCAGAAAACAGCACCATGACACAGAGGGCTGAAGTATACATACTAATTTGTACCAACCAGCTCATTCTTGGGCTACAATCTATAAAACATCATTATTTTTGAAAGTAGATATGGTTTCAATTTATTTTTGAAAGGCAAGTAGTGTCAGCTACTCTTTCAAAATCCAGCCAGCAAACATTAATTTTTAACATCCTTGAACTATTCTGAACCTTCTGTGAATATTAAGGTGATTATCCCTGTATTGAAATTATATATCTGCATTTATCCAATTCAGTTATTTTAATTGAGAACAGAAAAATCATATAGCCAGGAATAGGAATAATCATTTGTGAAAAAGAATAAAATCTAGGAGTTTTATAATACCAACCTTGCAAATTCAGCCAATTGTTTAGGATCAGAAAGGTCAATCCCAGGTATTCCTCCAGGTGGTAGCTTCTTTCCCGTCATGTATTCAGAGTAGTCAGGAGGGGAGTTCTCGCCAATGATCTGTTCTTCCACCACAGTCTCATGGTCAATGTCTTTTTTGTCATCTGCAATGATTAGAGAAAACTGAATTTTGATTTAACATCCACGAAGGACGACATTGATAACGTGAAAAATGTTTCTTAGACAAAGTTTGTATTAAGAAACAAATTCAGTTATTTTTTAGATAAAAATGCAGAATTTACACTTAATAAGTATAATTAATCATATATAAGTATATTATTTATTCATTTTTAAAAACTAATTTTCTTAAAAACATGCATTATGAATTATTACACATAACATTTGACACATAATTCTTCCATATGCACTGTAACTAAAGCGAGACATCTTTTGCAGAAAAGCTTTTGTAAGATAGCACAATAATCTGTATATTATAATCTCTATTTATCTTAATTCAATCATACATTTATAAAGCATTTTCCCTCTTAACTTGAAAAATGTCTAAATACTTGCTATGTAATTAACAAGAAAACCCCCAGTCTGGCAAGATATGAATAAAACAACACATACGTACTTACTATAATTAGGCCAACTTAATATCCATTGCAGCAACTTTTCCAAATATATTTGAGCAAAATTTCTCTGGTAATTTCTCTTCCTTTTATTTTAGCTATCAATACTGCAAATTTATTGTTTATTTTTTCTAATAAACATATTTAAATAATAATTCCACCAATAAATTTAATACAATCCTATGCCTTTCATAGTTCAAGAAGAAAAACAGTTTGCAGTTGGATGGATGGATAAAGATTTTAATGGAACACAGTGTAGAACCCAACAAAGAATATATTATGACTTTCATTTCCAGCTTTGTTTTCTGCCATTATGATTTCATTATTCCCCTTGGTTTTGAATTAGTCAGGATACACTCACTTAGGTCACTAATTTTAAACAGCCATTTCCCCTCTATTATGAATGTGCAAATAAACCATTTCTTTTATTTCCATATGGATGAAGAGACTAAACTTTGTCCCTAGTTCAAATCTGCTTTCTAGGCAAATTTATAACCCAATTACTTGAGATACAGAACCCATACTAATGCGAATGTGTCAGAATAGTTCTTATGAAATATTTACAAATTATATTTACATGGCTGCCCACCTGATAGAATGTGATTCTGGGCAGTGTATCATAAAATCATAACAATATTAAAATATAACAATTAAAAACATTGAAGTTATTATTAAAAAGGCTGAGAGCATTGGATATTATGAACAGTGAAGCCACATCAGCAGATCACTATTCCTTTAAGACTCAGGCTTGTTGACAGCCACATTTTGGGGGATTTCTGGAAGGATGGCAGAGAAAGGGCCAATCTCACCTGGGGAGGGGATGATATTCCACAGGGCGGATGCCACAGTAGAGAAGGCGCATCACCTGGCTCCTGTCAGATGGGACCCACAACATATCTCTTCTGCTGGATCTAATGGGATGGATAGATGTATCGGGAAGAGGCAGTCTCTCAAATAACCTTGCCTACTACTAGTGTTTTAAATCCACCTTAAATCAGATCCAGAAACTGGCAACCAATACAGCTTGCAGAGCAGAGGTGCAACATGGGCCATTCTAGGAGCATACACAACTACTTGCATCACTGATTCTCTGCCACCTGAAGCTTCCAGATACACTTCAAGGGTAGCCGTATGTAGAATGTGTTACAACAGTTCACACAGAAAATTACTGGGAAATAACTAACCATGAATAGAGCTTTCCCATCAAGAAACAAGAGTAACTGGAGCACAACATACTTTGCTTAACAACTGAATTGCTTAGCAATGTTAAGCCGAGGATGACCTGTGGGTTCATGTTTCCTGAGCCTGGGTCATTTTCCATTTGTCACTGTACCTTCTGATGACCATTTCCACCATAATATGACCTACCCAGTCTCATGAAAGCTGAAACATTACCCAATCCAACCCTTCTGATGCCCAAGGCCAGAGGTCTTCTCATCTTGTCCAAAGAGGGAAGGCTAAGTCCTCTGAGGAACTATAGTCCTAGCTCTCAGTGCCATCAAGATATATAGTCATCCCTCCTCCAGCTGTACTCCTCAGAGTCCTCAGGGATCCCTACCATGCACACCCATCCTTTCCCTTGTTCTCAACCCAGGGGAGATAATCAGTTTCTCCCTGGGAAAAATCATAGTTCACAATCCTTGAGAAATGAGGCCTATGTGTCAAGTCATTGACAATCATTGCCAGAGATTGCATCCTCTATGTAGATTTGAGCTTTGCCCACAAAAAGAAAACATAAGCCAACTTTCTTTTATCAATAGTTCTCAGACTTGGAGAATGCATACTAAAGCTTCGACCAATCTCAATAACCCTACATCTATGCACTTTTTAATTGGAGCTTGAACGTGTGGGCATTGTCAAAGAAAACTGGAGTCTGAAGCAGAGCTGCAGGAATTAATCATTTTTGACACCACATTTTGGTTTTATAGGACATATCAAAGTCACTGGTCAAGAATTATTCCTGCACTGTGATGAGAAGATAGGGAGAGGAATAGAGGTAGAGATAGAAATAGAGAATCTACAGCAAGTAAATACATATTTAAATTGGAAGAAAGATGTTAAGTTTAACTTTATGCCATGTGGAAGCTGAAGTTGTGAAGTAAAATTCAAATAGGCAGATGGTGGTATAAATTTCCTTTGTGTTGTGCTTTGTCCAACCATACCAAGTACAGGAATTCAAATGAAATAATTTTTGGCAGATGGCTATCACACTTCTGTTAGAATATATCCAATAAATGGAAGCCAATCCCCTGGCTAACTGCTCAACTATTCTTGCTTTTAGGAGGATTTTTTAAATTTTTTAAATCTATCTGCCTTCTCGTAACTTAAATCTATTATTTCATGTTCTACACTCTGTAATGATAAAAGAACAAGTCCAGGCCTTCCTCTGTATGATATCCTCAGAGATATGTGAAGAGTGGTATCATATTCCCATATTCTCAGTCTTTTCACAAAACTAAACCTTTTCAGCTACTTCAAGTATCTCTTCAAGGACTTAAAATTCAGTTCCCCAATAATCCTCATTATCTTTTTCTGAATTTGTTTAGATTTTCTGAATACTTTCTAAAAGTATGAAGCATAATAGTTAAAAAATAATTAAGCCCTTCATTAAAAATGTTTCAAATACATAATAACTGAATACATAAAACTATCACACCTATTTTATTGTCATCTATACTTCTACCAATATTTCCTTCTTTTCCATTAATGTTATTAATATAATGATGAAAGAATACAGAATCTAAGATTGAATTCATGGCCTTCTTCATACCTCTGAGCAAATGACGACTACATTGCTAACCACTCTTTTTCATGCAGTTTTCAAGTAACTTTTATTTCCATTTAATTGTCTATGTATTGTTCTACATGCATGATTGGAGTGAAGAAATTTGGTTGTAGGACCTTCAGTGCCATGACCTTGTGTAAGGTAACATAAATGCAAATGGTACAGGAAGTCTAACTAGTTACCAACAATATTATAATCTACTGGCATCCAAATTATAATGCCTGGAGTCTATGAAATATATGTATGGAAAGTCAGAAAATAGTTATGGCATCTGACAGGTTCATATATTATAGCCGATTTGACTATTTGGGTATCCAAAAGCTGCAATATTTACTGCAGAGTAGTTAATATATTCTAGCAAAATCCAACAAAATACCAAACAAGCTCAAATATCTGTGCAGCTATCCTCAATCTTCAGGTTCAGAGCTGATCTCTACTTATGAATCTCTACACAATGGGAAGATTATAATATAATGTAATATATAATACCAAGCCTAACATGTTTATATGTACATAGTGTGACACATACATCTTTTACATACATAGACATATATATTAGCTATGCTGGTCTATGACAATTGTGATTTCATCTGAAACAGCCAGTCCTCAGTTAATGCCTGTCCTATTTAATGGCCATTCAAATTTACAACTAGCATTGAAAAAAATAGTTTTATGAATAGTCCTTGAACCTATGATGATTGCAGCATCCGTCTATCACAGGGGTCTTCAAACTTGACAGCTTTAAGACTTGTGGACTTCAATCCCCAGAATTCCTCCTTGAATCATGTTAGCTCAGGAATTCTGGGAGTTGAAGTCCATAAGTCTTAAACTTGCCAAGTTTGAAGACCCTTGCTCTATTACATGATCACTATTTGCAACCTTCAAAGCTAGTTTCCAACAAGCAGTCAGTCAGGAAGCCAGCAGAAATCACAAGCTGTGGTTGCATGACATTACATTTAATGACTGTGGGTGATTCACTAAATGGCCATGGAAGAACTTGCATCACAGGTGTGTGCAACCATCTTCCACTTAATGTCACCTAGCAATGGAGTTGCCAACCCCAATTGTGGTTGTTTAGTGAGGACTACGTGTCATTTCAGCATATTCAACAAATGATCATTTTAAAATCATAACTTAGTATTACTGTACATACAAAACAAGCAAATTTTGGAATGCCCAGAACATCAAGGGTTGAACCAGAGCAATCTGCCCCAATTCTAACAGCTATATAGTGTTCCTATTCTGATCTTGGTAATCTTAAAATAAGAGCATGAAAACTCCTAACTAGGTCACAATATTAAGATGAAAACTTGGCTAAATAGACAATACAGAGCAAGATTCCTGTATATTCAATAGTCAGGTAATATAATGTTTTGGTACATCAAAAATAAGTCTTCATGTACTAGTAAAAATTTATTCCAATGTTCCTGAACTGGTAACATGAACTGATATAATGGTGGCGTTAAAATAACAATTATTTTAATACCACCATTATAAAAGCATGAATCATTCAATCAGAATACTGCTAACCTAACTGTCTGTAACATATAATTACAAAAAGCAGCAGTTTAGAGAAACAGATCAAACAACTAATTGATATCAGAATTTGGTAACTGTGAAATGAGTATTTGCAAATAGTTTAATAAGCAAGGTATAGAATTAAACAAATTACTGACTTGAAGAATTTCAGAAATTCAGAGTAAAAATAACAGATTGTACTTGCTTTTAATTCAATTTTCTACATGATATCTAGTTTTATAATTCTATATACCAGACTTCTGCAAGTATTCTCCAGACAAATTAGCTATGCTGACTAATAGCTATGAGAACTGTACTTAACATTTGGAAGATCGAGTAAAGTTGCTTGAACCTGTTTAAGAGGTATAACAAAATCTGTGGCAGATGGCATACATTTTGCAAATGATTATATATTCCGAATATTAACTGAATATTCAGAATATTAACAGAATTCTATGAAATCACTCAATGTAATTATTTGAAAATGTAACAATACAGCAATTAAATTAATAATAAATTATTATACCATTTACACTTTCTTCCAATGGATCTAAATCCTTTAAAACTAAAAAAAACCTATTGGTTTTATAAATATTTGTTATCAATAAATCAATTTGATACACAGAGGTCAATAAATGAATAAAGAACTAGAGGTTCCTATATTATTTAGACCACAGGAATATGTCTTAAATTCTATAGTTAAGACTTAAATGGATTTAAAATTATAACTAATAGAACAAAAAAGATAATCAGAATTTATTCTCTGTGTAAAAGAGGCCTCTGTGTAAAAACAGCACTTTGCTGGAGATGTATTAAGTATAATACTTTAAAACTTTTTTCCTGCAACGTCCTATATCAAGGCCAGATGCATCACGCACAGGCCATGCACAGTCCTGCAAATGGAAAAAACATCATGAAATGTCACATATGGAAATGTGACACCGTGAGTTTGACACCCATGTCCTATACTTAACATGTTTTGGGGAGAAAGCAGTGGATTATATGAATATAACTGTAACAAAAGCTAATATTTTCAAAGGATAAAATTCTTATATGAACTATATCAGTGGTTGCCAACCAGTGGTTCGTGGTCCATGAGAAAATTTTGGTGGCCTGCAGGGAAATGTCACCCCCAAAGCAATTAATCCAGGTTGCGCGGGAACACAAGGCTGCACTGCCCACATGGCCCGCGGGAACACAAGGTTTGCAACGCTTGCATTGTGAACAACACAAGGTAGTAAGGGGAGGGGGAAAGAGCGGAGTGGGGGAACTTGTCCCACTCCCCCACGTGCCTGGCCTGGCCACTGGGCTGTTTCCGCTGCTTCTGCTTTTGGCTGCACGCAAGGAAAGCAGCAAAAGTCTTTCTTTCTCTCCCCCAAACTCCACCAGAAATGAGTCTTTGGGATCCTGCAAGGCATCCTGCTCCAAGAGGCTGCGCCGGCAAAGACTAATTTCTGGCAGAGTTTGGGGAAGAGGAAGAAAGACTTCTGCTGCTTTCCTTGCATGAAGCCAAAAGTCTCTCTCCCCGGAGAATGGAGCTGCAGACGGTATCCTGTGATCCCAAATAAAGAACGCTCGATTGGTTAGAAAATGGGCTGGGGAATTTTCCTGCAGACTTTTTTGGGATTTTCCCAGGGTCTCTGCAGACACCAATGTCAGCAAGCCACCGTCAGTTAAAATTCACACTAGTGGTCCGCGGGATTTAAAATTATGAGTTTGGTGGTCCCTAAAGTCTAAAAGGCTCACGATGCCTGAACTATATAGTAATCTATAAAATTTAACAACAGGAGAACATAAAGTAATCCCTTGTGAATTTACTATGGCTAAAACACTGAAAGCATTGGAAAGACAAATATATGGATCTGTTTAATTTAAAATCTGATTGTATTTTCCACTTATGAGTGGATTGCTTATGGACATAGACATTGTATAGACAAGTATAATAAAATATGGGATTCATCTATACAGTAGGTTAAAAATGGTCACATAAATATATAAGAAATGTATAATGTATTTGAACAGTAGGATTAGTCAAGTATATAGAATAACTTTATTGTTATAGAATTATTTTATTGTATTTTTTTCACTATTCTTAGAGCACTTTTCTTTCCTTTTGACAATGTTTACATAGTATCTCCATTACTGTTACCATTGTTTTGTTCTTGTTCTCAATTAAAAAGCAATAAAATATAAATTTACAATTCTATTTATGCTTATTCAGCAAAACCTCTGGTTATTTTCTGGATTGGAAGGCCCTGTTCGCTGTCATAACCTCTTCACCTGCCATATGGATTACTACCATGCACTCTATAAGGGATTCCCCTTGAAAAGTATTTGGAAGCTTCAATAGGTGCAGAATGCAACTGCACAAGTAGTAGTAGACGGTATCAATTATTAAGCATATAAAACAGCGTGTACTACATTGGTTGCCAGTGTGTTTCTGAGTGCAATTCAGGGTGCTGCTTGTCACCTAAAAGCCCTTCATGGCTTAAAGTGCATGACCTGAAGGTCCATCTTTTCCTAGTTGTTTCTAACCATCCACTTGGGCAGGATCCAGATCCCATTGTTAGGTGGTAGGGCCCAGGAGATGTGCTTTCTCTACTGTAGACCCTTCACCTTATGGAACGTTGTCCCTCCAGAGATTAGAATGACCCTGACCCTGACCTTTTTTGCAAAGCATTAAAGACCTGGTTCTGTGCCACAGCCTGGGGCACTGAAGGTGTAAAGCAGGGATGCCAAACTCAAGGCTCATGGGCCGGATCCAGCCTGTGGGGTGCTTAGATCCAGCCCATGGGGCTTCCCTGGAAACAGCAAAGGACCAGCAGTGCCTCTGCCAGCAAAAACTGAGCTTTGGAGGGCCGCACATGCGGCCTCCATCCCAAGCTGTTTTTACTGGCAGAGGGCTGCAGGAGGCCGTCATGATTGAAAATGGAGCTTGGGAGCCTGTTTTTGCTGGCAGAGCGCTTAGGCCACCACAGCCTCCCCAACACAAGTGATGTCAAGTTGGCCATGCCCACCCATTCACCCTGTGGTCAAACACAACCCTGATGTGGCCCTCAGTGAAATCAAGTTTGGCACCCCTGGTAAAAAGGGTCCTATCTCATGGCTGTGCTAACAACCAACAAATACAGTAGTATCTTCCTTGGCTGCTATGTGTTTTATTTTTTGTACTTAAGTTTTTAATTAAAGATTATTTGCTACCCAGTGTCACTTGCTGAAATGGGTAGCCATACACATAAATAAAACTAAGCAAACAAAACAGATGATATATTTTCATTGGCAAGTATATCTTGTGAATTATCAGTTTTTGCTTTCAAAAGTAAGCAATTTCATTTAGTGTTAGATGAAACTATTACTGGCTTCTAAGCAACCCAAAACTAAAGCATAAAGTGAATTTACTTTGTAGAATTTAGTAATGACATAGGCCTCTCCAGAAAGACATGAATTTCAAAAAGGAAATTTTTACTATTACATTATTTTATTCTAGGATTATATCAACACATCAATCATTACATTTTGACTTTTCAAACTATATATTGTCTCTGAAACAAAATGTTGACTTTCAAATACTGATCTTAAAAAAATTATTAAAACATCATAAGATGTTCTAATCAACCCAACAGGCACAATATGCTCAGAAAATAGATTTCCTGCACTAAATAAGCTGCTTGTTTTGTGTATCTGCTAAGTGTATGAAAATTCAATGCCTTTTATACACTGCTGAGAATTGCAATAAAACTAATTTTTTAAATTAACCTTAATTTTATTCCCTTAAAAAGCATTTTTACAGAAAATCATCTAAGTTCTAAAAACCTGCAGGGTCTCCACAACTGTCATGCAGCAACTATATTCATCTGATTATATGATGGCAATTCCTTCTAAAGCTGTCCAAAAGAGCTTTTAATGTGGGGAGGGGGGGGTGTTGTGGTAATCTAGAACTGGAATGATTAAATTCTATATTCTTGCTGTGTCATGTGTGAAAAACATGTACCAATTAATAGTTCTCAAGTCAAAGACCTAAAACCGATATCTAGAGGTAGAGGATTTGTCTCTTTTCTCCCAAGGTGGACAGTATTTAACACATATTAAAAATAACCAAAATCACTATTTTAGGATATTTTCGAGCCCCTAGTTATTTAAAGACAAAGTACATGTCATGTAAATAGTACAGAAAAACTTTATTTCTTATGAAGAGTTCAAACAGAATGCAGTGAAACCAGGCACTGTTCTAACACTACGAGTGCTGAGAGCTTTAAAAGTATAACCTACCCTACCGAGTGCAATGGACTTCGTCCCCTTACTTTACTTCTCATTCTGACCAGAGACAGAGTTGCTGTCCAAAGGTTTGAGGAAGGGAAAGTGGGAGGGAAAAGAGAAAAGGAAGATGCCAGGAGGAAAAGGAAATGAGGAGGGATGTGCGAAGCAAACCGCCGCGAAGGCATGACTGCTGATGGGATAGGAACAAGAACATTTAGAAGGGGCATCCAAAGGAAGACTTGAAAGAAGAAGACCGCCTGTTGAGAATACTTAGAAGGAACTATATATATTGTGAAGCCCGCCAGGATAAAAACTTAAGGGGGCGCCAAGAGATGTCGAGAAGCAGCAGAGGTTAAATAAAATCAAATCCGACTCAGTTGTGAGGACAGAAGAGAAGAAAAAGCAACCGCCAGAGACGAAGGCTGCGCGTTCTAAAGCGACGGCGAACGAGAAAGAAACAGAGCGGGAAAGGCGAAAGAACGGGCTGCCGAGGTTGCCGCGCGCGCGCCCCCGCCTGCCCCGCCCCCAACCTCCCTCCTTCTCCTCCCTCCTACTGCAGAAACTACGCCATTGCGGCCTAGTCCAGGAATCAGTCAGTGAGGGAGGGAGGGCGCGCGCGCCGTATCCCCTCCCCCTCTCTGCCTGTCCCAGCGGCCATCTTGGCGGGGCTGCCGCCATCTTTCTTTCCCTTTTCCCCCCCGCCGGAGGGAGCCGGGCAATCAGGCAGGAGCAGCGCAGACCCCGCCATCTTTTCGGGGGAAGCCGCCATACTTGCCCTGGCGAGATGAACATGGCGGCGCCCATCACACACATCCAAACATGGCCTCCCTTCAAAACAAAACGGGGCAAAGAAGCCTGCCGGACACCGTCCGGGGCTCCCCAAACCTTCCCCAGTCCCCGCCGCAACGTGCCGGACCCGTCCCAGCCGCTCTACTTACCCGAGGCCCACATGGTGACCGAAAACTCCCCCTCCAGGGTCTTGATCTGCACCTGCTTCTGTTCCCATTTCCTGGCGCCGCCGCCCCCTTCGGCTCCGCCGCCGCCTCCCGTCAAATAACTCTTCTTACTGCTCTTCTTGCCGCTCCCGCCGCCTTTCTTCACCCGGCCACCGCCAGAGGAGGAACCTCCGCCCGAGCCGCCTTTACTGCCCGCGGCCGCGACGGTGACCAGAGTTTGCTCGATGTACTCATCCTCGCCGGCCGGAGCCGGCACTGGAATGAGAATCTGGTCCTCGAAGCCGTCATCGGCCCGCAAACCGTCCGAATCGTCGCCTCCTACCACCTCCTCGCGAGTCTGCACTAGGATCACCTCCTGATGGTGCGGGTGGTGGTGCAGGTGGAGCTGGCCCCCGCCGGCCCCAACTCCGCCGCCACTCGGGTCGCCGTCGGTGACCAGCGGCTGCAAGGCGATCATGGGCGGGTGGTGGTGATGGTGATGGTGGTGGTGGTGGTGACGGCGGTGGGGCGGGTGATGAGGGCCGCAGTCCTCGCAACACTCATCGTCCTCGTCGTCGTCCTCGTCCTCCTCGCCGCCCACCACAGTGGTCTCAATAGTCTCCACTGGGATGGTCTCGACCTCGATCTCGTGCAGTTCCACGATCTCGGCGGGCATTTCCGAGCCGTCTGTGGCAATATACAGGGTATCTCCTGAGGCCATGGTGGCTGAGCCGCCAGTGGCGGCGGCGGCGGGCCTAAGCCTAGCACAGGCCCTCGGGTCCGCTCCTCTGCCCGACGTAGGTGGGACTCAGGCTTCTCTGGCTTCCCTTCCTTCTCTTCCGCCGTCGCCTCCTCCCCCTTCCACACAAACACCACCAGTTCTTCGTTAGGAGGGTGGGAGGGAGGCAAGCAGGCAGCAGCCTCAGCCACCTCCAAATCCCGCTTGCGCCGCCTCGCGAGACTCGCCGAGAGATGCAGACACCCTGGTTCTTCCTCACCCGCCATCCACACCCGCGGAGGCCGCGGTAGCCGCCGAGACACGCCCCCTCGTAGCCCTGGGCCAATCGCAACCCTCGGCTCGATTTAAGGACAACTCTCCTCGAGCAAACACTCCGGCTTCACCAACTGGCAAACGGGCCGGTTACTTCGGGACCGCCCCTTTTCTTCCTGAGCGCGACCTATCACCATGAGGTTGAACAAATCAGTCCTGCCCTGCCGATTCCATTTAGCTTATCGTTGGCTTCTTAGAGAGAGAAGGGAGGGAGAAAGAAAGAGTGTGAGAGAGAGCCGTTGCTCCTGTGGTCACGCCCACTCCTGTAAACGAGCCGTGAGAGAAAGTTCCTGTCGGCTTTGGCGGGTGGCGGTCTCTTCCGCTGCCTTTTGCATTGGGAGGTTCGGGAACGTTTTTTGTTTTCTCTTCGGGTCCTGAGAGCTTTTGTGGCTGGGTTGGTTGCTTTACTCGGGGGAACAAGACGGGTCGCCTCGACCTACCTGGGAACTTTAAAAGAGTGAAAGTTGACTCGCCTTCAGCTTCCAGGTTGTTGTTTTACGTAGGCGCGAGAGAAAAATGCAGTATAGCCCCTGTCCGTTTTCTGTCCCGAACTTATATTTGGTTCGTCCAGATTATTTTTTATTTCTGCCGAAGTTGTAGCGGTCCTGTTGAATCTCACTTTTGATGATCCCAAACAAATGGGTTTGCGCAACACTCTACAGAGGCTTAGTTTGTGGCTCCTTGTGTTGTGTGTACTGAACAACCGCGGTTCCTTAATGGACTGCAGCTCAGTTAACGACGATTTACACGTGGCGCGAAGAGAGGTTTCTTTTTCCGTGAAAAAAAAAAAAGTGGAGGGGGATTGATGTCCCGCAGCCCGTCCCTCCTCCGACCACCCGGAGAACCGACGCAGGGTTTCCTTAAGCTCCCTATTTTGCTGTTTATTCGGGCTCTTCGTTTTCCTCTGAGCTGACGGGGTTCCCACTCTGTTACTCGATGTGTTGCCGTCTGGTAGGGCCATGCCTCTTGTAAGCTTTTCATACAGAATGTCATTTTCTCTTTTGGGTATAGTGCAATTAATGTTGCAACCTGGGTGGTTAATGCAGCGAGCACCCCATCTCGCTGAGTGCAACTCATTAAATGTTTACAGCAAGAACTCCTTTCTTCACTTTTACTTTTTGTTGTTGTTGAAACCTTAATAGAAACAATTTGGCCTAGTGGTTAAGGCATTTGGCTAGACACCGGGAGACTTGAGTTTTAGTCCTGCCTTGGGAATGAAAGTCAGCTGGATAACTTTGGCCCAGTCACACTCACTCAGCCCAATTCACTTGGCAAGATTGTTGTTGTGGGGGAAAATAGGAATAGTAATCTGAATGTTGACTGACTTGAGTTACTTATAAAATAAGAAAGATGAGATTTTAAAAAATATAACAAATTAATTTGGCCCATTTTACTGTGTGCGTTTAATTTCCAATAAAAACTCAGTGCAATGTATGTGTCAATTTTTTGTTTGAAATCTGTGAATCTTTCCTGCAAATATTAAGGTAAGCGGATGAATATGAATATATGTTAAGACTTAAAGAGATCTTAAGTGAAAGCAAAGGATCATACCTGTTTATGAATAGGATGGCAAATCACTAGGAAATGTTTACTTATTAAATTTATATAGTTGAACAACTCACCCACAGTGATTCCACAACTGCAAGCTAGAATGTAAATTTAAAAAAAATATCAGAAGAAGGCAATGGCAAATAATTCCTTATATTAGCAAGAAAGCAAACTGAATGGGCAAAGTCCCCCAGGAGCTGAGTTTGACTTCAGGAAGATTCTAACTTTTTAGTTATCTTCCATAATTTTGAAATAGAAATATATGTTATTGCAATTGCAATCTTCTTCCAGAGTATGTTATAAACAGTAATATCATGTAATTCTAATTCTTAGCTCAAATTTCCAACTCAATAATCAAAATACATAATAAGACAAAGGTGAGAACAATAAAGCTTAAATTCCAGTTCTTACCACCTCTTGCTTGGATAAAATATTGGTAAATAGTGGAATGCATTAAGGAGAACAGAGTGAATAGCAGAGATTCCTGAACAGAGACAATGGAACAGCTCTGTTTTTCTTTATGTTCTGTGTTATAAGCAATATTTAAGTGCCTTTGAGCATGTCAACCATTAGAAATAGAATAGGATAGAATTATTTATTGGCCAAGTGTGATTGGACTCTAATTAATCTCAAAAGAGGAATCTTTCAAATCTATTCTTGTACTAGCTAGCGAAATAAGAGTGAAGATTTAGATGCAAGGCTGTGCCAGGGGCAGCCTGTTAGTTAACAGGGTGAAAGTACAGGAAATGGTGATCTCATGAATTTCAGAAGTAGTCACTGGCCTGTTTGTTCAAGCACTCCCACAATGTTTGAGCAAGGGATGTGAGGGTAGATACCCTTGAACATGGAGTGGCTAGATGATGAAGGTCACTGGATTTGAGATAATGCAATATTGAGGTCATGTTAGAGACACTATTTACCTAAAATGGGCTCAGGAACTTCCAGTATGGAAAAGGGATCTCTTACTTTATCTTGTTTTATTGTATAAGCCCTAGTGGGAATGTCCAGAGACATTCTGGAGTCAGAATGTTGAATTGAATTGTTTACACAAGACACTTTGTATCACACAAATATTTCTTTGTAAGTAGTTCTACAGCTTAGAACACATAGCTCTAACATGCATTGTGTAACTCCTCCAGCTATGACGTTTCATACTTTAGCAGTAATTATTGAGTGATCACTGAGAAAGTCCATTGGAACTATGTTTCAAGAGGGATGAACACTGCCTTAATTTCATTATCCTTAGTATAAGTTAACAGATAATCAGAGTTGGAAGGGACCTTGTAGGTCAACTAGTCCCACCCCCACCCAAGCGGGAGACCCTACACCATTTCTGACAAATGGCAGTCCAACCTCTTCTCGAAGGTCTCAAGTGATGGTGCTCCCACAACTTCCGAGGGCAAGCTGTTCCATTGGTTGATTGTTCTCACTGTCAGAAAGTTTCTCCTTATTTCCTGGTTAAATCTCTCCTTGTTCAGTTTCCATCCATTATTCCTTGTCTGGCCTACAGGTGCTTTAGAAAATAGATTGACCCCTTCCTCTCTATGGCAGCCCCTCAAATATTGGAAGACCACTATGATGTCTCCCCTGGTCCTCTTCACTAGACTAGCCAAGCCCAGTTCCTGTAACCATTCTTCATATGCCTTAGTCTCCAGTCCCCTAATCATCCTGGTTGCTCTTCTCTGTACTTTTTCAAGAGTCTCAACATCTTTTTTATAATGTGGTGACCAAAATTGGATGCAGTACTCTAGGTGTGGTCTTACTAAGGCTTTATAGAGTGGTATTAGTACATCACTTGATCTTGATTGTATCCCTCTGTTAATGCAACTTAGCATTGCATTAGCTTTTCGGGCTGCTGCTGCGCACTGCTGGCTCATAGTTAGCTGGTTGTTCACTAAGGCTCCAAGATCCCTCAATCACGTTATCTGATTATGCTTTATAAACTATCAACCTCCCCTGTTATGTTGTTCTAACTATTAAGTTTTGCAAGGATCAATCCTCTCTCAATTTCTGACTACAATTATTAAATGATAATATTTATCCAAGATAGCAGACTATTTTAGATGAAATTGATTCTAGTTCTTAATATTTATACAGAGATTAGTTTTCCAGCACATGTTAACTAAAAAGGTAAACTGATTCCCTCAGCATACCTATGATTCATTCAACTGTCAACCTGGCAAACAACTGTACATTAAGAGATGTGGTAGTACTCATTTCTTGTGAGCAGCAAGAAATACCATGTTTCCCCAAAAATAAGACTTATGCCAAAAATAAGCCCTAGCTTGAATTATTTACATGTGCACCTAATATAAGCCCCTCCCCCAAATAATTCCTAGTTAAGATCACGGCCACTCTGTCCCATTCTCTGGTTGTACCCTAGCATAAAAAGCTTGGGTGGGGGGAGGAGCTGTCTGGGGCGCCCCACATTTGCTTACCTTAGGATCATTGCAAGTCAGGCCTTCCACACCCCAACACCTGTTGCACCACTACTCTACTTTTGCAGCCGCTTGTGGCTGGATGCCACATGGCACATCGAGGCAGTGCCACCGCTCCCAGACGGATGCCATGTTGTGTGTCACTTGCAACAGGACATATGGTGCATCATGCCAGTGCTATTGCTTGCAGCAGGAAACCACATGCTGTGCCAATGCCACCGCTCGTGCATGCAATGATGTGATAGGTCACGTGGTATCCTGTGAGTGGTGACACCAGTGCAATGTGGCATCTGGGCACGAGGACAGCAAGCAGCTGCAGAAGTCAGTAGCAAGTGATGGAGCATGAGAGGCTTAGCTGCAGTGGTTCTAAGATAAGCGGGTAAGACAAGATATTCCTTATATGATGTGGCCATTGTCAGTTTCCGGTTTCTATCCCAAAGCTTTAGACATTTATCCAAATCTATATTATATCCCAAATTTTGGGCCCATACTGTCATTGTCTCTTTAACTTGTTCTTCCATTTTATAAAAGAGGACTTCCGGTTGCGGCGCTGTGGTGGTGCGATGAGGAAAAACGGTCGGTCTCCGGCTTTTCAGCCCCAATCTGTGCGTCTGGTGGCCTCTCAAGGGGCACACAGATCTTGGAGGGATCAGTCAAAATCCGACGAAGCCTAAGGTGGAAGCGAATGGAAAGTGACTGCTGCGCTGTAGGGAAAGCTCAAGTGAGTGATCGGCCATTAGAAGCTGACCGAAGCCACAGTGAGCACTTCGTATGAGAAAGAAAAAATAGCGACAGCAGTATTGACATTCAACTAAACTAAAAACGATAGTGTAGAGGCAAAGAGTGATTTTTGGTGAGGAGCGAACTGAGAGCAGATCGGCAGAACTGTAAGTCTCGGAGTGTGGGTGGAAGCCCAGCAGAGAAACAGTGATCCGGCAGGGAGAGCATTGGATTTAAAATAAGATGCTAAAGCCGAAGGGATTGTG